GAGGAGGAAAGTCTGGCATTTTCCTAGATGGTACCATTATTTGCCCTTTGTAATTCTGCTCTGTACCACAGCACCACCTTGTGTTGTGTAATGGAACATATAGAAAGGCAGAGAAGAAAAGAAGTCTTGTATGAGGGTCACTCCTGCAAAGAAAACAGAAGAGGAACACTCAGTAAAATGCAGGTGGGCTGCCTCATGTAGAGAAGTCCCCAGCTGGCAGGGCTTACTTGTGATCTCCAAGAAAGCACAGATCAGGACAATGTCCAGATGTTATTGGACTTCCAGTTCATCCACCTTAGTCAAGATGATAGGAATTGTCTCCATCTGGAAGCATTGCAGAGCAAAAACTTCTCTAGAATAAAGAAATCAAAACACCAGTCATTTTGGAGGCATCCATATGTGTTGTACCTGGGCTGACTGGCACCTGTTGAAAATTTATTTAGGTCAGGAGTTCTTTTTTTTTCTGAATTCCAGCTAACCATTTTTCATAGTGTGTAGGCATTTTATTTGTATGGGATAATTTTGGTTATTTTCCAGTCATCTTCAACAGTTTTTTACTCTGTGAAGCTGTGATAGTTAAGCACTAGCCCAGACATGGAGCTCCTTGCAGTTTTGAAAACCCAAATAGAAGGCTGTTTCTGAGAGAATCCTGGTAAAGGGCTGGATCTCAGCAAGGAAATGGTAAAATTGCTTAAACAGAAGATGCCAATGAGAATCTGAACTGAAATCAGGCACAAGTCAAAGAATAGCAAAGCCATTCATGAAATTTTCCACGCACTAGTATCTTCCTACTCCTTTTATATTGGGCCATTGGGAAGCAAAAGTCATGCCCACAGAAGAATTACATGACTTTACTATTAATAATGAAGAAATCAAAATTGTAAAGATTTCACATACCTTGGCTCAGTCATCAATTCAAAGAGAGACTGCATCCAAGTAATTTAAAAAAGACTGAGACTTGGAAGAGCACCAATGAAGGAACTAGAAATACCATCAAGTGTAAGGATGTTTTACTGGAGCCCAAGGTCAAGATCATCCAATCAATTGTATTCTCAATCACAGTGTATGGTGTGAAAACTGGACAGTTAAGAAAGCAGATAGGAAGAAAATTGATGTGTTTGAAACATGGTGCTGGGAGAGAGCTTTGTGAATACCCAGGACTGACAGAAAGACAAACAACTGGGTCTTGGATCAAATCAATCCAGAGCTTTCCCTAGAGGCAAAAATGGCAAAACCGAAGCTGTCATACTTCTGATACATCATGAGGAAACAAGACAAACTAGAGAAGACAATCATGTTAGGGAAAGTCAAAGGCAGAAGACAGAGGGAAAGACTAGATACTGAATGGCTGAATCCATAAAGGAAGCCACAGCCTTGTGAGAGAGCTGAGTGGAGCGGTCATGGACAGGACGTTTTGGGAGGCTTTTATTCATAGGGTTGTTGTAAGTTGGAGATGACCTGATGGCATATAGCAACAACATTGGGAGACTGTAACCAAGAAAGAAAGGATTCAATTAATTCTTATTGCCGCAGGAGCAAGTTTAGCACAGCAGAGTAGCTGAGTGTATCAGCGAGGGGTGTAGCATGCGATGTTAGGTTATTGTTGCAGTAAAAGTCTTTTTAAAGCTGTACATAATAACATAAGATCACTTAAAAAGAAGGTAACTCATTATAATTTTAGTCCATTACAATATTCTTCACAACAATAAGCAGAGGCTCACTACCTAAGGAAAGAATGAAAGCACAAGTTATGTTTATAGAATGGATATGTGCATCTCTATGTTATCACTTGGGTGCATTTGTCAGAAAAAAATAACCAATTGTACTTGGTTGGAATTTGATCAAAAGTTTGGAAGCCTGTTTATTTTATGCATATTCTGATTTCTGCACAAAATGGGGACGAAAGCAGCTTACAGTGCAGGATAACACAGTACCATTGTTTGCATTTTGATGTCATTTTCTTATACATGTGTGTCCATAAATGGATGAAGAACATCCACTGAATTTTTAAAAATAAATTGTTCTGGTTACACATTGCCCAAATCAGAGGTTTTAGTAATGCAATCAAAGTCCTTCATTCATTTCCACAGTAAATAGCTACCATGTGGCTTTCAGTGTTCCAAGCTTTCTGCTTAAAAGGCTTTTCCATAAAGGAGTCCTATTGCTCATATTTAATTCCTTCCTTTCTAAGGTGAAGAGTATCAATTACTTAGTGGGTTAAGAGAACCAGAGTTTTCCATCACATGATGCTACATCTACCATTGTAATCCCACTTGTTTACAAAACGGTCTCTATAGCAATATGATTTGTTTGCCAAAACTTTCATTAAAGGCCAGGCATCTTGGCTCCTTCCTTGTGTACAAACCTGATCCTGAGGAACTATGCATATGCATTTCATGGATACTTTGACCAAATTAATGGTTTGAGAACTACAAAGCATTTTGGCATGCAAAAGTTATACAAGGAAACAAAACCCCATGGGTTCTTAATAGATTTCCTATTTCTCTAACACCTCAGTCCCTGAGACTCATAAGTCAAAATGTTGCTGGTTCTTAAAAGGAAAAAAGAAACCTATAGAGCCATGATAGTCTGTTGCAGCAAAAGCAAAAAAAAAAAAAGATCCAGGGCAAAAACTAATTTATTATTGCATATGGTTTTGTGGCCCACAGTCCACATCAGATGTGTGAAGAGTTAGGCTGAGTTCTCAGGTTGGTACGTGTGTCTAGGTTTGTGTATAACCCTATTCTGGTGTGATCAACCCAAGAAGAGTAAATGTGTGAAGTGCGTGACTGTGTGTGTTGGGGAGCGCAATTGTGTCCACCCTTTCTGCATGGAGGGTGACTTTTTGCGAATGAGAGCTGTTTTCCAGCATTCAGAATTGTGTAGAACCCCTGTGGAAATCACATTCCATGAGTACAGGTTGACAGAAAATATGAAGACAAGGTGGGAACAGCAAGCTCTTACATTAATGCCTGAAGAGAGAGAGAGTGTGTGTGTTATAAGTGTGCTGTGAACACAGGATTCAACTCAGACTCTGATTTGGTGCTTCAGAATTTGGGTAAAGAGAAACAAGGTACTTAGGGTTATAGAATTTAACCAGGGTCCACATCTTCTAGTCACAGCTTTCTCATGTTTTCCTACCACTTCTTCCATTCTTTCCAATTACCAGGAAAAAACCCAATCTGTTAAGGAAGAAAAGACAAAATGCTGCACAATGCGTTTTGAATGGTATTGTAAGGAACCTTCCATCTGGACACACCCACAGCATTGAGTCTTGACATAATCTCTGTCACGGACTCCTGGACCTTCTAGCCTAGAAGGATCCAAAAGAGCAGCCAAATAGATACTACACATAAAGTGAGTCTTGGGAGGCCTTGTTTCCAGCTCTTAAAAAACTCTTGATTTTTTTCAATGCTATTTCTTATTTATGATACAGGCAAAGCTACGACATCCAGATTGTTGCTGTAGTGGAAGAAACAGGTTTTAAATCAGGCAATGTCCTTGATTTAAAGAATCCATTTTTTAGGTAAGAAATACTCTTGGCTAAAATTCATGATTACTACTGAACTGTACATTTGGCTAAAGAAATCTTTAATTTACTATGGCTAAGCAGGCATCTGATACTGCCTCTTCTATGGAAAATCTATTATTTGTTAACATTTATCCCTCCCAATTTTAGTAAATACAGATATTGCTTATGTACCCATCATGTGAATCTTCACTCTTTCTTAAAGTGCTGCTTTGCTTCTGAGACTTTCAGTGTAAAAATTAGAGCTGTGAAGAATGTTTTGCTCTTGGACATTTTTGAGGCAAGAAGTGTGATTTAAAGGTGTCTCTCCTTTAAATCCCCCCTGCCCCCTGCCCTTGTGAACATCTTTACTTTTTCTTGTCTCCTTGTATAGCCAATTGGCTACTACTGCAGGTGCCATTTGTCCCAGATTTGTTAGGTTTGATTCCTCCTTGCTATATGATCCTAACAATCAACATCACACTGCAAACATGGCAACATCAGAAGCCATGCAGTTGTGTGGTGATTTCAGTGAGGGCAAATGAAGCCATGTTGCCTGCAATGTGATAGCCTGAGGACGCATCTCGTTTCTAGACAAGACTTGTACTGTACTATGCCCTCCATCATTCGTAGAATCCTATGGGAGTTTCCATTTGGAACCTTCCCATGTTTTCCCACCACTTCTCCTGCCTTTTTTCTTACCACAGAAAATTTGTTAAGGAGAGGAAGATAGAAGGGTTGCATGGTGTATTTTGTTCAGCAGTGCTAGAAGCCATCTGGCTGGAAGCATCCCTCACTCAACTGCATCTGTCTGGATGCGCGGTTTGGATGAACATCAGAATGGCATTCAAACACTAAATGTGCATCAGACCAGTCACCCCGTCTTGCTGTACTGCAAAACACAAAGCATTGGCTCATTTTCTAATCTACTGATGTGTTGCCTCCTCACTTCTGTGCCCCTTCAAATCCCTCTCCAGTGAGAAAAATGAGGAGGGAGGTCTTTTCAACAAGGAAAACTGTTTGTAAAATTTACTTCCTTCACCTCTGCTCTGGCTAAAAGTGCTGTCACATAAAATACTTTCCGCTCTACAGCATCATTTAAGTAACTATCATTTGAGGAAGGGTTTAAATACTTCCATCCTGTTCTTTCTCATTAATGATAGAAATTGCATCTTTTTCTAAAGACTGCTACTATGCAAGACCACCTTTTTGCAGTTTGCAATTTTAAACCCTATTTAACATATATTAAGCTCTAGAAAGTTTTCATCTACTGTAACTACTTAACTATTTTGCAGTTGCCCATAATAACTTTGACTGTCTAGTCTCGTATTTTAGTGTTAGCTTGTCCCCTGCAAATTTTAGCTATTTCTCACAGGGGAAGGCTTTATTTTATGTGTTAGAAATAAACCTGCCTCCACTATGTGCATGCACTGGCAGGTCATTCTAGCACTTTTGAGAGAAGAAAATATTTAGACATTGTTGAGCAATTGGGAAACACATATTGGACACATTTTACAGGGGAAAGAAACATGCATTTGGGGGCATAGGATTGCAATGGGGCTTGATTCATACAGGTACAACCTTAGAAATGGTTTCTTTTTCCTGATATATTGGAAAATATATCCAAATATTGTTGCTTTTCCTTTTGTTGCATGACTTTTGTTTGCAATATGTAAGATTTATGCGAGCTTACAAATTTTCATCTCAAAATAGATGAAGTGAAAGTATCAAGTACTGCAGAGTGAACTGAGACTGACATATGGGAGGAGGATTAGATCCTAAGGCCAAAGCAAAAAAAAAAAAAAAAAAAAAAAAATCCCACAGAGGTCCCAGATTGGTTCATTGTACCAATGCCATAGTCAAAATGTCTGTCAAGGCAGGCAGACATGGGATGATCCCAAGGTTGTGCATCAGCCAGATCATTCAAGGTCGCTACTAGCCGTACATTGCTAAGCACTGTTGAAACTGCAGGTGTGAGCTTTAATTTTTAGGTTGTAGAGCTGTAGCCATTTATGTTTTGCAACTTTTTCTCCACCTGGAATGAGTGACAAAAAGAAAATATGAAGGAAGGTAGCCTATGTTTTAATTAAATTGCAAGTCACATGGAACATTAGGTTTGAGAGGAAAGATACCCATACGCCGAAACAGCTGTTCATGCGGGGCTGAGGGCTGCAGATGTATGTGCAAAGCTTGGGCCAGTAGGCAACTCAATACCTCTGGCGATGCTTGATGCTAGTGCATCAGCAGATAGCAAGCTCAATGATGGTATGGATCTGGCTATAGCTTTTCCATTAGCAGAAATGGATCTGCTAAAAGTTATTTTCCACTTTTGGTTCTAGAAAAAGTAACACCCAATGTTCTCTCCTGCTTTATTCTTTACAGCTACAACTCTGTAATGACTGTGCATGTCATACAACTTTTTTTTTTAATTCAGGTATGCTTAGATGATACAATAAACACCCGCTGGAAGAACAACCAGGATTACAACCAAACCAAGTAGCCTATGTGGCATTGAAAGTGAGAATATTGAAAATGCTGCTGCTTTTGTGAAATCTGTGTGTACATATCAAAAGAAAATATTTCATGCAGATTATATAAACAGATGATGCTTGTGCAGTTTCCCTACTTTTTCAAACTGACATCGCAGTTTTCAAACATGTTCTTCTGGAAAATTTCCCCACTGTGCTAAAGGATATTACCCGGGCTAGTACTTTTTCTTTAAAATTTCTCCCATTGAAACCACTGGGGAAAAGTAAATGTATATAGCAGCCTTCCCCAAGCTGGTGCTCTCCAGATGTTTTGAAATACAGCTCCTAACATATCTGACCATTTACCATACCTGGTAGAATTGATGGGAATTATGGTTTGGGTGTCTGGTTGGGGAAGGCTGGTGTACAGGATTGGAGTGTTGAATTACAGGGCGGAATCCAATGTGCCATGCCAATTCCCATCCACAATTGATACTTTCACTTGAGGAAAGAAGATTTAGTGCTTCTAGGGACAATCAGACAATTCATTTCTGAAACAGGTCAGGCTGGTGGAGCTTACATAAGAGAAGTCTGCTGACCTGCCCCTACTGAGAAATGAGCATGTTGCCCATTGTGGGGCGTCCTCTGGGAGACACTAAGGCTCTGTTGCACAAGGGGTGGGTTCTGCTTGCACAGTGGAATGGGCTGGACCCATCCCTTGCGCAAGAGAATCTCAGGTGCTCAGGAGAATCTTGAACCCTGCCTGCTGCATTCTTGTTCTGTTTGATCAGAAAAGCATGAGGATCTGATGGGCAGGGTTTGCCTTTGATTTCTCTCTCGAACACTGGCACACCCTGAGTTTTTGTTTCATCCCCCACCCCACCCCACCCCACCCCACCCCACATTAAAAAATATTGTTAACAAAACCTACCTCATGTTTCTATACAAGTATGGAATGTACAGAAGTAATGTGAACAATATGCCAAGCTCCCACTTAGCCCTTTTTCAGTATTTCCAGGATATATTCTTGTATCTGGAGTTTATTCCCAGCTGACCAACCATAAACCATTTCTGTCTCATAGCAATATGGCGCTAGGTTCATTACCTGACTTGCATTATTTTAATGGTTGGAAAATGCAATTCTGGACTGCCTGACTAAATTAACAAGTCAATCTTCACAGACACTTAGAATAAACTTTATGAAGAAGGGCAACAGCAGAATAACTTCTCTGCATCCGTGTCTCTGTATATTTCATGTATTATGTAGATTAAAAATTGCAATTGTACATTTAATCTTTCCAATAAATTTTACATACAAAATATAATGAAGTTGCAGCCTGTTTCACTAAGAGTTTATTTTGGAATTCGTCCCTCCTCAATTCCCACCTGTCGAGTCCTCCAGGTGTTGCTTCTAGTTTGACTGTGTTGCCCCCATGTCATTGCAGTTGCTAAAATGAAAAGGAGGATGAGAGCCAGTGTGGCATAGTGGTTAAGAGCTGGGACTGGGACTCAGACGATCTGGGTTCTAGTCCCTGCTCAGCCATGGAGCCAACTGGGCCAGTCACAGACTCTCAGCCCAACCTACCTCACAGGGTTGTTGTTGTGGGGATAAGATAGAGGAGGAGAATGATGTAAGCTGCCTTGAGCCCTTTGTAGGAAAAGGCCAGGCTATAAATCGAAAAATAAATAAAATAATTGAATACCTCTACTGGCCAACAGGAATGTTGTCCTATCTATTTAGCCCTGAAGATCTAACTGAAGTGTAGAGTCATTCCCTAGGATTCTGCTAGTGATTATTTACAGCAGCACTCTGCAGCGGGGTAGGGGGCAGGGAGTATGAGAAGCGGGACACACATGAGGCCGGACATGCATTGGCTAGGACAAATGAAGCTCAGCTACCTTCCTACTCTCTTAAAAATGTGTTGCTTGATCCACTTGGCTTCCAGCTGCTGGCCGGAGGTGAAAAAGCATCTCAGGGACTTGAATATATGTGAATTCCTTGACTTTCCAACTAACAGCCAGATTAGACGTGAATTCCTAATTAACTGCTCTTTAATTTTAGATGGAAGGGCAAGGTGAAGAGATTGCTCCTTGCTTCTGGACTACACTAACAATAATCAAGCATGTGTCAGAGTAGAGCTGCTATTATATCTCCCCAGCCACTGGCTAGGATCTCTGTACCACCAAGTGAGTTTACGTAGCTTATCACACTTTTTCTATTGACACGCTGTAGCTTTGAAAAATCTGAATTCTTGACAGTTCATGCATCCCCTCTTGAGCACCCCACTGAAGCAGTGGTGGGCTGTTTGCATCTACCCTGTTGATCAGGTAATCTATTACCTTTGGTACTGCTGACTGTGTATGTATGAAAGACAGACAGGATGACTCATTCCTAGCAAGTGTCTGGCACCATCATGACTGATGGGCAGTGCTGATGATCTACAAACGACACTATGGCTGTATTCACACATCGCAAAAAGCCCTGGCAGGAATGGCTTGTCATTGTGTGAATACAGGAAGCATGGTGAATTGTAGCAAGTTTAGTTACCTTGAATCACCATGGAGAACCAAGTTTGTTCTAAGGTTTCCCTATTTCAGCATTGGTTTTTCTTATGTGTAAATTCACTTACAATGTTTTACTCTGGTTTCCCCATTGCAGCCAGCAAGCTTGTTGGCAAAAGCAAACATGGCAGCTGCTCCAGCTGCCATTTTCTGCTACCCTGTTCACCTACCAGTGGCTGAGTTGCAGGTAGAGGGGGCACTGATTGGTTGCCCCCCTTCTCTCCCTGTGCACACCCTCCAACACCTGGCTACCCTGCCACTGTGATGCTGCCTTGCCGGGTTGCCAAGATGAAATGGGTGATCTGACAAGGTGGGCACGGTGAGGTGGGCAAGCCAGATGGGGCAAGATGGGGCAACTGGACATTGGAGAGCATGTGCTGGGAGGGAGAACAGGGAGTACCTCCAGCAGCAGCAACCACGGGGGCAGCCATGCATGGCACTCCTGCCTGGTCAGTGCTCTGTAGTCACTGATGGCCTCCCCGCTCATGAAACTGTCCAATCTCTTTTTAAAGCTACTTAAATTGGTGGCCATCACCACTTCCCATGACAGCAAGTTCCATGATTTAACTGAATTCTATGTGAAGACGTTCCCAAGCTTTTCATGCTCATCTGCCATCTTTGATTAAGCTGTAATAGAGGACACACACCGGTCAATGAAATTCAATTACAGTAAAGGCAGGTAGCTTAGCATACTGGCATCGGGATCCTTGTTGGGTTAGTTGCTATGACCTTTTTGCCTGAGCAGCTTTTCCCAGAGCAAAAGGAGCATTAGACAGGGTTCTTGGGTGATCGCAACATAACATACAAGCTACATGTGTACATACTGGCTCCACATCCCCACTTCAAAGTTTCTGAAAGCTGTTGGATATTGACATGGGAACCACAGAGAAAACAGGAGAAAGCATTGTGACCAGCTTACATGATGCTTTGAAGATGAAATTGATGTGTCCATGGCAGAGTGCAGAGCCATTCATGCAGTGGATGTAAATTTGGCCTGTGCTTTTCAAGTTACAATGGATTCCTTTCCATTTGCATAGCCCAAGGAAGTGAGGAGGATCCTAACTTGTGTGCTGGACCCTTTCTCTTCCTGGCGTAGAAAAGCAGCCAGAATGTCTAGGGGTACAGGTGATTCAGCCTTGCCCAAAAAAGGTAGTGAAACTTTGTTCAAAAAGACAAAATCAAAAACCTCCCTGAACCCACTGTATTGGATAATTTCCACTTGGTCTCCAATATTCCATTCCTGGGGAAAGTGCTGGTTGAGGCAGTTTACCTAAATCCATTTCAGCCTGCCTTTGGACCTAGTTACAGGACAGAGACTTTGGTCACCTTGGTAGATGAGCTATATCAGGAATGGGATGGGTGTTCCTATTGGTTCTGCCGGATCTCTCTCTCTCTTTGAAAACCAGAAACTTGACTACTCCAGAATGTTGCAGCCAGACCATGGTTGGGGGCCTGTTACCAGCTGCCTGGGACTCCCTCATTACAACAGAGTCACTGGCTACTGGTCTCTTTCTGGGCACAATTCAAATTGTCTGGTTATTGATTTACAAAATTTGGGAGCATGCTGCCTCAAAGATGGCCTCCTCCTGGTGGAGCATGCCCATGTTTTCACGAGAGGTTCTTATTTTAGTACCACCACTAGAGAGGCATGCTTGGCGATAGAAGGCTATTTCAGTCTCTGCTCCCAGGCTGTGGAACTCCTTGCTAAGGGAGGCTGGCTTGGCTTCCTCTCCGCTCTTCTTCCGATGGTAGGAAAACTGCCTTTAAGCAGGGTTCTGGCATGAAAGTGGGCCTTTTGAGTTGATGCTGTTTTTATTCTTCAATGGTTGTGTTTTCAGATATATTTCAATGCATGAGTTTGATTACTGGTTAATTAAGTATAATGTATAACTGTAACCCACCTCAAAGAAATGTGGGGTATAAATAACAAAAATACATAAATGTCCATTCTATACGCCATGTACTTGGCATATGGCACTTGACTAATTTACCAGGGCAGGGCAAACATTCATGTAATCAGTGCTACTTTGCCATCTTCAGAGCTCTTATCTCCAGCCCATAGATATCGACAGAAGACTGCTATCCCATATATAAAAAAGAAAGTGGACTAGAAAGCTCCAGCTTCTCTTTTGGAAAGTGATCCCAGAATTCCAAATGCTTTCCCATAGTTTTTTTTTTTTTTTTTTTTTGAAATCAGCAATGATTTATAAAGCCTGTAGATAAGATTGAAGTAGTTTCTTTAATTCTGCTGACTGCAGTGTGGCTATAAAAAGACAACCAACAGTAGCCTCTAGATATGCTGAAGGTGCGCTTTAAAAAACTGAAATTTGGTAACTTGTTCAGGCCATTGAGTAAAGAAGGCATTCATCTCGAAGCAAAATTAATGAATAAGGATCATCGAAATGGCAGGTAACCAAGAGCTTCTGGCACATAAAAGTCTACTTGATGTTGTTTTCTATTATGAACTTTGAGCTAATTGCAGAAGGCTTTGCAAAAGAAAAAAAACAATGTGTGGGAATAAAAAGTAAAGTCTGGGACTCTTAAATATTGCCCTAGTCATGTGGGAACATCTAGGCAGCTCCTAGGTGGCAAGGGTGATATTTAAATAGTCCAGGCATTGGGTTTTTCTTTCTGCCCAGTGGGGTAGCTCTTCTGAGGATAAGAGCCTAGGGCTGGCATCCATGTACTCAGCTGGATCACTGAAATGTTCTTTTGGCAATATGGGAGCAGCCTACTGAGAGGGGTTCCTTTGCAGCTAGGGTAACACTGCTGGGAGCCCACTCTGATAATGCTAACATAAGTATAGGTAGCTACAAGTGATACTCGCCACTGTGATTTGAATAAACATTATAATCTGCTAGACGTGCCTATGAGCAGCTGGAAAGGGACTATTTTCACTGTAGCTTTGAAGAGTGTGAATTTGCTGTGAATTGTAAATTACGCATGAAATTAAAAATTTCAGTCTGATCACTTCACCAAGGGGCAAAAATGCAAAAATGATTAGCATTTACAATTATATGTAAATTAGTAGCCAGATTATCATATCCATTAGAACCAGTTTGTGGCACCCATTTGCAGTGCAAGCTCACCAGATTTGACCAAATGTAACTCTTTGGACTCAAAGTCTCTGAACAGCTTTAAAGAATAATAAAACAAAACATCAGAATTTGTTCCAATGGTCTGATGCACAAGTAAGATAAAGCACGGTGGGTTCCATTATTAACACAGAGGTGTTTTTACCATGGGTAATAGGGGATTGTATATAATCACAGCCAAGTGAATAATCCATTAATCCTCTTTTCTCTTTCCCCTATTAAGAACAGTGCAGGAGAATTTTGGAAGCTTATACAATGAATCCCACAGTTTATTTTTAAAAACTTGTTTACTAAGAAATGAGGGGGAGTTGATGGCTGGTTGTCTTTTGCTAGAATAATCTGCAGAACTGAAGTGCAAAAGAACAAGCTCAAGATGATCTTTTTGTTCATTTATGACTTATTTTTTAAACCCATTCCAATTTGAATTCTTTCCTTGTAAAAATAGTATTTCATACTGTAATGATTGTGTTTCTAATAGAAACAATAGCTGTGCTCCAAAGGGGTGTTTTGGTTAGTCAGCTAGAACAGCCATGTGTTCACAGTCCCCCATTTGAAGTCACCCCTTATTTGAAGGTTTAAAGAGAATGAACCAGAAGAGGGAAGAGCTGGTCCTGGAAGGTGCCTGTCAACAGCACCTGGACGACAGACAGACATACAGGTCACTTGGTCACAGTCTTCCCCATCATGGTGAGCAATTTGTTTAAATGAGAGTCATTATTTTAAAAATTCTCATGAATACACACACATTAGCACGTGCGAATTTGTGCTATTTTCTCTTAGGATGATACATTTCCTTTTCTGGGGGATGCGTAAGCAGGGAACCTATCGTGCCCATGCGCTAGCACTAGGCTTGTCTTGCTTCCTCTCACGTCCATCACAAACTGGTCTTGAACCATCCTTCCACTTTGAAAGTGATTTGCTGTTATAAGAAACAAAGGGCCACAAGATCCTGGGGCACTTTGCACCAGTTGTGTGATTCTTTGAACAGAGAGGCATTGCCCTCTGCCCACATCTGCAGTGCAGGATCACAAAGGCAAGGACACACTCAGAACTTTGCATCTCCTTTCTTTCCACATTTACCTGACAGCAAGTCTCAATGAATTTACTTCTGAGCAATGCAATGTATTTTCCTGGTCCTTTTCTCAGTATTACATGCTTCTTCACCATCCTACCCCATTTTCTTCGAAATCTGATCAGCACTGTTCATTAGCTAAAAAGACCTTCTCTTCTAACCCAGCATTATGATTGCTTCTTCCCCTCCTCACCTTCTTCAAAAAGTGAGATCCTGGCTAAATTAATCAATCTTTTGCCTGCATGTATACAAATGATGTGCAATCCTAGGTAGACTAAAAAGGACATGAATATGTGGCTTCCTGTGGGGTAGCTGCACTGATCTGTTGAAGAAAAGCAACCATCTTGTGGCCCTTGACATTCATGGCTGTTCTGGGTGTTTGAGGATAAAAGCACACTTCATCAAATACAAATAACAGTATCTTTATTATGTTTATATACATTTTGGCTTTAATATCATCTTCATTAACATACCTATCTATGCCAATTGAATGCAATCACTCGTATGTCTGACGAAGTGGACTCCAGTCCACAAGAGCTTATGCCAGGTGTAGGGAACCCATCATCCTCGTCATCATCGCCTATATATCCTGCCTTCTTCCTCTTGTGAGGAACCCAAAGGGGCTTACATAGCTCCATTTTATCCTCACAACAGCAAACTGTTATGTAAGTTGGACTGAGAATTGGCCCAAAATCACCCAGTGAGCTTCATGATGAGTGGGGACTAGAACCCAGATCTCCTAGATCCCTGTCCAACCTTTTAACCACCACATCACATGTGCTCCAGTTCCCATCAGGTCCAGTCAACATAACCGATGCTCAGGAGCAGTAACCCAACCGCATCTGAAAAGTACCAGGGTTCCCATGCCTGGCTTATGCTGTAATACATTTCTTCATCTTGAAGATGCCACAAGCCTCTGCTGTTTTCAGCACATGCTTGTAATCCTGTTGCACAATACTGGCTCCTGTCGCATACTATGTTGTAGCACAGGGCCTAGTTTTGCATACCACACTGACACTGGATTTTCCTTCACCATCACACTGAGGCTGCACAGAGCTGGATCCTCTACCCTTTCTAGGGTTGAAAGACATTCAGAGTAGATTCAAGTAAGTCCAAATTTCTATGAATCTGACCTGCAGATTCTGAGTTAGATGGATTCTGTGGATCTGTGGACCAGTTTTTCATCTCTCTCTGTATATCCATGTGTGAGGAAGGATTGCACCAATTCACATTAAGTACTGTGCATTACAACTGTGCATTAGCACCTAATGTGACTAAAGTGCAAGTAGAAATTCTGGTTAAAAATATCCAAATCTGTCAGTTCCGACAGAACAAAGGATGCCTGACAACCTGTGAAACAGGATGAATTTAACAAAATCTGTGCATCCCAGTCCATCTGTACTTTGCCATTTAGGAGAGTGCGAGTGGATCTTGAAGGAAGGGAGGCAGGGCAAGGCAAGGCGGTCCTGCACAGCTGCAAGCACTCACCTGCACCCACTGATGCCTGACACGTGGCTGGCAAAGCAACCAGCCAGGACCTCCTCCTTCCATCGGGGGCTGGAGGGTCAGTGGCGGAAAACAAGGAGTGTCTGTAAAGGCAGTGCTGGTGTGTATGGACTCAGGCAATGTGGTGGACAACCTTGTGCTGACAGTGGTCTTGGGGGTGAATATTCTGTCACAGAAAATGTAGTAAAACAAAGCAAGGATTGTTTTCATAGGAAACTGCCATGTTTTTCTAATGTAGGAAGTCTTGTGGCACCTTAAAGATTAACAAATTTAAGTAAAGTCCACTTCATCAGATGCAAAGGTAGACGCACACTGGTGCGCATGTGGAGTGGTTGGTTGCTTTAACCTTTTCCGTGATGTGACTATCCCTATTCTGTATTTGACATGCTAATGCCATCTGGTGGTGAGTATAATCCTTACTGAATTTCAAACCAATTAAGGGCTCCATCCCATGCATGATTAGCCAGAGAAAAGTCCTACAACTCCCACCATTCCCCGATCAACAGTGTAGGACTTTTTTCCTGTCTAAGCACACACAGAACTGAGTTACTAAAAAGCTAAGATATTACTGCAAGAAAAAAATGCACACAGATTTTGGTTATCTATGATTTTGGAATCATATTCCATAATTGTATGATCTACACTTTTAGCTGCAACTTGACTCTGAAGCAGTTTGTTCTAACCTGTTCAAATAAACAGAAGGAAAAATGCAAGTACAAACATGACAAACCAGTGAACAACTCCTTCAGTTATTTTATTGGGCAACTGTTTTCTTTCTAATCCCTTACCTAATTTGTTAACCAAATAAAATAACAAATACACAATCTTATTTTAAATAGAGATGAGATTTGTCTGGCCTAAAACAACAACCTTGATCATCTACATATGGCCTGTCTCAAGGGTTTCTTGTCTGTGGCCAAGAGCATCAATATTAAAACCTCATTCATGGGACAACCCTGCTCCAAAGGAAATGTTCAAACTGCTTTCTGCATTACTCAGTAAAGGTACAAATTTATTTTTTAAAATTAAACACCCACAGTGTTGCTTTGGAAACAAATTGATTATGAGTAAACTGCCCTGTGGTAGTAATATTACAGTGACAATTAGGATTCCCCCCACTCCTGCTGGAGCTTTGTTTTAATTGTTGCATGACAAAAAGTAATTCAAACAGTATGTTTCATTTGTTGGATTTTTGATTGTCTGCAGTCATGAAAGGCTCAGGACAATGTCAGAAGCCTTAAACTGGCCAAAATGGCTTGTAACAAAAGACTCTTGATCACAGGCACAGCTCTTACATGCCCTTATTTGTTTTAGCAACTAGAAAGTAGGTTTGGCCCAAGTCAAATCTTAAAACAGTTTTGGGAATATAGTTTTAGGGGAAATATGATCATTGTGTTGAGAACTTCCACTTTTCTTAAAATTCAGTTAGTGATAGTTTCCTATCCCGAATGTAACTATGGTGCTATAAAAAAAGAGAACTTTTTGTCTTCCTTGCCTTGTCTATTGGCAAAACAATGTAGAACACTAGGATTTTGCAGGGATCCCCCAATATCTGAACTGCTTCTCCTCCACCCATCCCATGCAAGAAGTGCATGTTTTTTCAAAATCAGGCTTCTTGAATTGGTAAAATGGGATTGATCTTGTTTAATTTTTTAAAAATTGCCTTGAAAGCTCTTCCTATCCTATCCTAGGAAGGTGGGTATGAAGTGTTCTGCAGCAATATGCCTCTGAAAATAAATGAGAACTTTGCAATACAGTCCATGCTGGAGATTGGGGTAGGGATTGCAATCAACTTGTATTTTTACCATCTAATTAATAGTGGCCTACAATACTTCCATACCTAGTAGTTGTATTTAGTGCACACTGCAGTTGAGTTAAAATTGTGTTATAAAGATATTCTAAAATCACCTTGACTTTTTGTTAAAGGGAAAGGTGACCAAGTGTGCATGCGTATTTTGAAAGAAAAAAGATCTCTTATTCATCAGCCTTCCCAACATCTGGCATCGTCCAGATGTTCTGGACTATAACTCCCAGCATCCTTCATTATCGGACATGGCGGCTGGGGCTCATGGGAACGGACGTCCAAAGTACCAGAAGTCACCAAGCTGGGGAAAGCTTTCCTACAGGTCTTAGAATTGACTCGCAGTGTTGAGTGATGCGCAGCCTCAGCAAAGCGGGAGCAGGGCTGCAGCCACAACCACCTGAGCTGGTCACACAACTGTGCTGAAATCAGCGCAGCTCAAAGGCCAGCCCCGCCTCTCAAAACGGAGCACACGAACGGCCCCCTTCCTCACCCGAGGCATGTTTATTCGAAAGACAATTCCGTTTCCTTCAACACAGCTTACTCTTAAACCAGCGTGCCCACACTGTAGTCGCGGCAATATAAAATGGAGATTCCTTTCCCCACCCAAACCGGAAGCGGGGAGGCGGGACTTACCCTAAGTTCCCAGCCTTAGAGGAGGAAGCAGGCCACATGTACTAAAGCCTGAGATCATCGAGCTAGACTGGCGAACCTTCACTTCCGGCTTCGCACTAGGCGAGTGCCGATTGCGGAAAATAAGGATTCCGCTCTATCCTCAAATCTCCATGGTCCTCCTGCTGGGGTTTCTATGGTCTGCTTTACGGCAACGGCTTCACGACACCATCGCGCTCCCGAGCTTCCCTTTGCGGTGCGGGAGTGAAGCCACCGTCGTAAAGTAGCGGAGACGGAGAAAGGACGGTCCTCGGCTGGAGGCGAGCACGTGTGGCCGCTGGGTGAGTCCTCACGCGGAGGGATGGCGCGTGCTCGGGGGTGCCATGCCTAGTGTTGGGGGGAGCCACTTCTCGCCTGTGGGGTTCAACCTGGAGAGCGCCTGGTGGTCTTGCTGTATGAGCCCGTCCGTGACTGCACTTCGGTATCCTAGCTTGCCCCCCCCCCACACACCTTGGTTCCGGTTGGACTAAAATTCCCATCACTCCGAGGATAGCTCTGAGGGGGATTATGGGAGTCGTAGTCCAAGTCTTCTGGAAGCCGGCAGGTTGAGAAAAACTGCTATACTTGCAACTCTTTTGGACCTAATGGGGCTGTCTCCCGTGCTGGATGGAAAGGGCTATGTTGTGTGCCTCTGGATGGTGAGAAACTGTTGCTTATGGACACATAGTGGGTTATCTGACAATATGCTTGCCTTTTTTTTCTCCTCACTTTTCTGTTAGCTCATCTTATACAGTAGCCACATTTCTGGGTGTCATTGCCCAGAAAGAGGGCGTGTGTTTCAGCTTAGTATAAAATGTTGAAGGCCCAGTTGTCAAGTGTGGATGTGGACTTTGAGATCTTTACTATGTAAGTGTATTTCATTATAGCAGAGAGGACGGTGACCACACAACCTACTTGTACAATTAGCTGCCCTTGTGCTAATTGTTCATGGGCACTATTAAAATTCCTGCCCTCCCTGCATATGGTTCTTTATCTTTAACCTGTGCTTTGTAAAGTAGGACATGTGGCCACCATATATTTTTGACCAACTAGTGACAAGATCTGCTGGTGGTTATCAAGGTATAGCAACCACCCACACACACTTGTTGGCAGAATCAGAAGACAGTGGATCTTGTGTGTCTGAACCTTATTTCTTCTATACTCAGTGCACCCACAGAATGTCCTTTTATCTCTGTTTTATTTATTTAATTTATATGCCACCCAATTAGCCATAGGCTCTCTGGACAGCTTATATATAATCAGTGCCACAATGAAGTACAATAAAACCAATAATAAGAATAAACAATTAAAAACAAACAACAATAAAATCAATGCTAACCAATGAGAATAAACAACAACAATAATAATAAAAAATAAATGAATAAAATAATTAAATAGAATAAATTGAGAAAGGGATGCAACATAAAACAAATTTACGTCAACAGTACAAAAATAGTTTTACTTAAGACATAAGTTATAAAATCATGAAAATATAAAATTATAAAATGGTAGCAACAACCAACCTTAAAACAATACAGTAAAAGCAATGACAGAGAAGCAAGCGCTACCCATGTTCTTGCACCAGCAAGGAGGGGGTTTGTGAGGTTCTTTCCCTGCCCTCAGAGGGAGATGTCTGAAACATACTATTTTTCCTCCATCATATTATGTACACCATACTTCATAGTCCATGAGTATCTTTTTTGTTTGCCTTTTAAATTGCTTGCGAGTTCATCTGATGTGACAAAGACTTAGGCTTCTGTCTCACAGTACTGTAACAATCTATCATTTCTCTTTCAGTAATTAAGGGTGCAGTCTTGTGCCTCTTTAGATAGAAAAAGAACTGAAATTCTCAGCATTCCCCAGGCAAGGTGGGACTTGGGAGACTTTTTCCATCTAATCAGGTATAGAATTTTGCCCTAAGATGCCTAATTTTTATGAGCAAAGGATGTGGTGCAGCTACTAAAAACTAAAACAAAAGTCTTAGTACAGAAATTTAAAACAAAAAATCAGTGTGGTTATTTCAAATGGGCCATTGCTGCCTCAAGTTGATAAAATCTCTGCATACATATCAGTGGGGTATCACAACCAATAACTATTATTTTCTGTGTTTTGCAGCACAAACCAAATGGAAGCTAAAGGTAAAAGGAAATTTATAGGCAAAGGCGGGAAAGCAGGGCCTGGAAAAAAGAAGTTTAAAAAGAATAATGGTAAGATGAATACTATCTGATTTATTTTCTCAAGATGCTGAAGAAAGATGGAGAACTTACAGTACTTCAGGGAAAGCTGGTGATTGAATAAAATATAGAAAATGAGACTTTGAGCTGATACATGTCAGATTAAGTGCTGACTTTTAAAATCAAGTCGGGTTATTTCTCCCCCGCCACATGAAAATAAGTTATGGAACAAAATATTTAGTGCTATCAAACTTAGATCATGCATTGTATTGTTAAGCCTGGTGAATGGCCACATAGATAAGATGTTTCTCAGTGCCACCACAGACTGTATGGACATAGTCACTGTGTTAGTAGTTTAGAGCAGCATCCACAAAGTGGGTGTTTTGTGTGCATTGGCAGAGACTTAGAGTCTATAATACTATAGGCATTGCTGTAGAAGTTGAAGATGTTCAACCCTGGAATATTTCCTCAGCTAGGTCTAGTAACCATGTATGCATTGGCAATAGCAATTACTACATATTCTTGAGGAGACTCATGTTGCAGGAAATCACATGTACCTCTGCTAATCTATGATGTTGTCTTTATTTTATTTTACATTTTGTTTTGGCACAAGATGGAGTCTGTGCCTGTTTTAAACTGGCATCAAAGGATTCAGATTAATGTTTCTTAATTGGTTATTCCTGGATTCTGTAACTCAGGAATGACATATAAGCAAGAAGAGATGCTTGCTGCTTTCAGGGGACAAGCTGTCAGTTTCAGTTCTCTCGCCTGCAATTGCTGGTGTGCCTGCTTTATTAAATCTCCTTAGTTCAGTAAAAGTAAATGCAGAGTGACATTTCACTTTTTTTCCAGCATTGCTGTCCACTGATAACCACCAACTAGCATCTTATATTATCCTCTAGAAGTTAGAACTAATCATGTGCATTGGCTTTACTGAGTCTATATTACCTGACGTTTATGTATTTTATTGCACTGAACACCCCTGAACACTGTTTGGGAAAGGTGGGATTCAGATGCAACACAAATGGGAACAGGAAATAAATTATTATACTTTAACACTGTTTCATGTATCGTCTCCCTGATATTTTCCTGGACCTGTTTTTGCAGCTCTCTTTCAACATATAAACATGGAATTAAGTCCAGCTGAATTAGTTGGAATTCTTTTCCATGGAACAGAGTGATCTTGTGGCTGCTAGACAGCATCTAGGATTCCCAGAACTGAGGTTGGAAAAGAGCTCTGATCTCAGGGCTGGATTTTCCCCTGCACCCTGTAGTTGTCTTAGAAAAAAGCATGCCAGCTGCTTCTCCAGGGCAATATGACTGACCTTGGGGAAGGGTTAGTGGGGGTGCTGTAGGGAGGAGGGAAGGAAAATGGCTCTACCAGGTTAAGTGTCCTGGTGATATTCCAGTCTCCTTCCCTTCCCACCTGACATGCAAAGCGGAAGGAGCATAGAGACATAGATCGCCTCTGTGCTTCTCCTGCACTGCATAGAATACTTTTAAGCCTCCATGCTTGGTGATTTATGAATTTGCCCATTAGGTCTGCACCTTAAATGTAGTAAGTTTTGTGTACTTTTTATGTACCCTGTGTTGCCCACGGTGAATATCTGTTGCTGATTGCTAGGAGTTAGAAAGTATTTCAGAAGGCTATGGATGGTGAGTGTGCGAGTGCAAACTGGGTATTTTAGGACTTCGTTCTATCTGAACATGCATAGGCATCCACCCTTAGTTGAATCTACACATGGGTAGTTTGATATGAGTCTCTCCTCTTAAAGTTTCCCATTCTCTAAATTATAACTCTATTGCCTTAATCACACTAGTGTGTTGCAAACTGCCCAAAGAGCTTCAACTGTTGGGCAGTATAGAAATGAAGAAGAAGAAGATGATGATGATGATGACAGAAAGAAGATTGCACAATATATATTCTCCAGCAGAAAGCTTTCTAATGTTGGTATATCAACCAGTTGACTATCACTGTGTAAAGATTAATTGTTATCCAACAACCTAAGAGTCAAGAGTGTTTCCACAGTTTAAAAATGTAAATAAGTACTGCACAAATTACAATACTTACATAGTTTTAAGCTTATATTACATTTGTGGGAAAATAGGAGACACTCTGAATTAAAATTTCAGTTATCAAGTGGGCTTGGAAGGATATAATAATATCAAGGAGTGACTGAGAGAACTTGGCATGTTTAGTCTTGAGAAGACTGAGGAGGGCCATGATATCCCTCCATAAATACCTCAGAGGGTGTCACAAAGAGGAAGGTCAAGATCTCGTCTTGCTGATACCAAAGTATAGGACAGGGAATAATCAAGTCACGTTGTGACAACCCAGATTCAGGCTGGACATCAGGACAAGCTTCCTCACTGTCAGAGCAATACAACAGTGGAACCAGCTGCCTAGAGAAGTTGTGGACTCTCCCACACTAAGGACCTTCAGTAAGAAACTGGACAGCCATCTGAGTGGGATGGAATAAATTGGTGTCCTGCAGCAAGGACCTGATGGCCTTCATGGCTCCTTCCAACTCTACTATTCTATGATTGTATGATCTTAACTACAAACAGTTATTGTGTTGGTTCTAAGATAATTCTTCTTATTTAAACATTAAAACAGAACCTGGCCTTCCAAAGAAATTCAGTAGAAAAGATGGGGAAGACACCAAGTCCAAATTTAAATCGAAGAAATTTGAAAGAGGAAACAAAAAGCCTGGTAAAAGTGGTGTGAAACAAGTAAAGAGTAAACAACTATCAGAAAAGTTATCCAGAAAGCGCAAACTTGAAGATGATAAAGAGGGAGGTAAGAGTATTTTTTTCTTTAAGCTATGTGTGTCAAAGGAAAATATGCTTTGGTATAATGGTCGATACGACTTACCACATGAATCATTATTAAAAAAATATACATCTCATCTGAGATTATCCAGTGCCTTGGCTGCACAGTATGCAAACGGATTATACCTGGTTCCCAGGTTAAGAATGAATTCTGTTCCTGATATTGTCTTTAAATTGAATTTGTATGTTAAGTTGGATCACATATATAATAAAAAAACATATAAAGCACTTAAACACTTCCATATACCCAAAAACATCTTAAACACAATACATAATTGTAATAAGTGTAATAATACAGTAATAATAAAGTAATTACAGGCACTGGAGAGAGAGAGAGAGAGAGAATCTGTATGTATGCGTGTAGGTATACAGTATAGTTCTTAAGCAGTTCAGATAGAAAGCAAAAAATAGTAAAAAGATCATTAAAGGTTAATACTTCTTGAGCTGAGATTAAGCCTAACACTAACTGGAGGATAGAAACATAGAAAACAGAGCGAGTCACGACATGCCCACCATGTGGACGTCCAGCCTATCCTTGAACACCCGCACCGATGGGGCCTCAACGACCTCTTGTGGAAGCCCATTCCACACCCTCGGGGTCCTGACTGTCAGGAAGTGCTTCCTGGCATCCAAACGAAACCTTGGCTCCCTGAGCTTTGCTCCGTTGGAGTGCGTTTTGCCTTCCTCTGCAGGGGAGAACAGGTCTCTACCCATCTCCATGTGACATCCCCTGACATACCTGTATGTCGCCAACATATCCCCTCTGAGTCTCCTCTTCTCCAGGCTGAAGAGACCCAGTTCCCTCAGTCTCACCTCATACGGCATCCCCAGCAAACCGGCCACCAACCTTGTGGCCCTACGCTGCACTGACTCCAACTTGGCTATATCCTTTCTGTAATGAGGGGCCCAAAACTGAACACAATACTCCAGTTGCGGATGCACTAGAGTCATGTAGAGTGGTAGTAATACCTCTCTTGATCTAGAAGCCACACTTCTGGCTATGCAACCAAGGGTGGCGTTCGCCCTCTTGGCCACCGCATCACACTGCTGACTCATGTTTAGCCTGCAGTCAACCAGTACCCCGAGGTCCCTTTCACAAGTGCTGCTCTCCAGTCACTTATCACCTAACCTGTACTTATGACAGCTATTCCTATGCCCCAAATGCAAGACCTTGCACTTATCCACATTGAACGCCATCCTGTTGTCTCCTGCCCACTTCCATAGTCTGTCCAAATCCTTTTGTATCTGGAGTACCTGCTCCTCAGTTGTGGCCACTGCTCCAGTTTTAGTGTCATCTGCGAATTTGATCAGCAGACTGTTCACCCCTTCTTCCGTGTTGTTAATGAAAAGATTAAACAGGATTGGCCCCAGGACAGAGCCCTGGGGGACCCCGCTTGTCACTGGCTGCCATCGCGATGATTCCCTGTTAATGGTTACCTTTTGCTTTCGGTCAGTCAACCATGCCCTAATCCACCGGACAGTGCTTTGGTCTATCCCAAAACTCTTCAGTTTCTCCACCAGGATATCATGGGGCACTTTGTCAAAGGCCTTGCTGAAATCTAGGTATACCACATCCACTGCATCCCCTCGATCTAGCCATCGCAAAACCTTGTCATAGAATTCCACAAGGTTTGTCTGGCAGGACCTGTTTTTGCGGAAGCCGTGTTGTGTGGCTGTCAGCCTCCCTTCCCTATCTAGCATCACTAGATCTCTCTCTATTATGAGCCTTTCCATTGTTTTTCCTACAATGGACATAAGGCTAACCGGTCTATAATTCCCCATGTCCTTTCTACTACCCTTTTTGAAAATTGGGACCACTGATGCCACCCTCCAGTCCTCTGGAACTTCACCCGTTCTCCACGAGGTCTCAAAAATGGAGGCCAGCGGGCGTGAGAGAACCCCTGCCAACTCTTTAAGTACTCTCGGGTGTAACCCATCAGGGCCTGGCGCCTTTGTAATGTCCAATGCCCTGAGGAGCCCCTCGACTTCAAGGGGGGTGACTCTAATCTGTGCCGCTAAGTCCCCAGCCTCATCTAATCTCCTATGCGGATATCCCCCGTCCTGCTTTGGGGAGAACACAGAGGCAAAATAGTCATTTAGCATCTGTGCCTGTTCCCTCATATCAGTCACTGGATCTCCTTCCTCCTTATTTAGTGGGCCCACCAATTGTCTCTCCTTCATCTTCCTATTTACATGCTGAAAGAAGCCCTTTTTATTGCTCTTGATATTCTTGGCAAGTCTCAGCTCGTAATCAGCCTTAGCCTTGCGAAGAATCCTTCTGCAACGGGCCTTCTCCTCCCGGTATACCCTTTTGTCTATTTCCCCCAGTACCCATTTCCTACGGAGGTTCCTCTTTCGTCTAATCCCTCTAACCACCTCCTTTCGCATCCATGGTGGCACTCTCCTCCGCCTCCCCACCTTACTGACTAGAGGTATCGTCAAGGCTTGCACCTCCAAAACCTCCCTTTTGAGTGCTATCCATCCCTCCTCAACTCGCTTACCTTCCAGTAACCTATCCCAGGAGACTTTCCCCAGTCTGGCCTTCAGTTGGCCAAAGTTGGCCCTCTTGAAGTCCCAGCTTCTAGTGCTCGACCTGCTGCCCGTCCGCAGTCTCCTGATCGCAAAGCAAAGGATGGAGTGATCACTCGCATCCAGAGCTCCCCTAATCTGTACTTCATCTATCAGCTCCTCCCTATTGGTCAAGACCAAGTCAAGGATGTTTCCCCCCCTCGTCGCCTCTTGGACCCTCTGTGTGAAAAACGCTCCCTCAGTAGCTTCTAGGAAGCAACGTGACCTGGCTGTCACCGCCAAGTGAGTCTCCCAAGTAATATCCAGGAGATTGATATCTCCCATAATTACTGTATCTCTCCCCCGAGATATCCTTAGAATCTGGCCTGTCAGGACATCATCCAGGGTCTCAAGTTGACCTGGAGGGTGATAACATACCCCCACTGTCAGGTCTCTTTCCCTGTCAAAACCCCTGAGTTTCACCCAGACTGCCTCTACCGAATCCCCATCTGTGCCGCATTCTATCTCACTGCATCCTATCCCTTCCCTGACATATAAAGCCACGCCCCCACCCCTCTTTCCCTTCCTGTCCTTTCTAAAAAGGTAATGCCCTTCTTTGTTCACATTCCAGACTTGCCTTTCATCCCACCAAGTTTCTGTGATTCCCACCAGATCATACCCTCCAATTCCCAGGAGAGCTTCAAGCTCTTCCTGCTTATTACCCATGCTCCTAGCATTGGTGTACATGCACCTCAACTCCTTCCCACCGCTTCCTTTCCTTGAAGTTCCCAGCCTCCTCCTTTCTCCCATCCTCCCTAATACCTGGTCCCTCTCTGAAGGAGTCCTGTCAGTCCCTGCAGTATCTCTAAAACCCTGCTCCCAGAGCCCTGATCCTCCCCCCACACTTGTCCAGTGCAGACACGTTCCTGGGGGGCCTGAACCGGCCCCCGGCTCAGTTTAAAGTCTTCCGGACGAAGCTCGCTAGAGCATCTCCAAAGGACCTTTCCCCCATCCTTGTGAGGTACAACCCGTCCCTTGCCAGAAGAGCATTGGCAAGAAACCGAGTGCCGTGATCAAGGAACCCGAAGCGTTCCTTCTGGCACCACACCCTAAGCCAGTTGTTCACCTCGGAGGCCCTCCTGTCCCTTCCTGGCCCAAATCCCTGGACAGGTAAGATTGACGAGAAGGCCACTTGGGCCTTCAGCTCCCTGAGTTTCTTTCCCAAGGCCTCAAAGTCCCTGGTGGTCCCAACCACACCCTGCCTGGTCACATCGTTTGTGCTCACATGGATCACCAGGAGCGGCTGGTGACCCCCGGAGCGAACAAGACGCTCCACTCTGTCCATCACATGCCGGATGCGTGTGCCTGGAAGGCAGCAAACCTCCCTTGTCTCCAGGTTGGGACAGCACACCGCTGCCTCAGTGCCCCTCAGCAGGGAGTCCCCAGCAACAATCACCCACCGCCGTACCTTCCCGGTGCTGGTGGGTGGCCGTGCCCTGGTCCTCGCCTCTTCTTCAGCGGCCCCCTTGCCGCCTGACGTCTCAGGCTGGGGGTCCTGCTGGTCCCCCGAGGCCTCATCAGCCCCAGCCTTCCCAAGCAGAGAGAACCTGTTTCCCAGCTCCAGATTGGTGCCAGGAGAAGGAGGAGGCCGTGCTGGCCTCCTCCTCCTGTGGGTGACATACCTCCATGTCTCCGCAGCTGCTCCTCCCGTGGTGTCTCCCTCAACCCTCTGTCCAGAGGGGAGCTGCTCCAGGGGGGCCTGGAGAGCTCTCTCAGCCCTCAGGCACCTCACCTCCTCTTCTAGCAGGGTCACCAGCTTGCACCGAGGACAAGTGTAACCCTGCCTCTCCTGGGGGAGAAGGGCGAACATGTCGCAGCTCTCGCAGTGGACAGCAACACCCGTGACTCCCGCCAAGGCCATCTCCTGGTCTGCCATCGGTCTCCCTTCCGAGACCTTACCTTGGTCCCCTGCCTTGTTAGTCCTGCAGTTCCTCTCACTCGCCCAGTTCTCCCAGACGAAAACCCACTCGCACACACACACAAGGATAAAATAAACTTAAATTTAAATTGGAAGAAAAACAAAGCACAGCACAAACAAACAATCAAACCTCTGTGTCTCAGGGAAGGGAGTCTCCGGACAGCCCGGGACGCAGCCAAGGGACGCAGACAAGGGATGATGCCCTTCCTCTCCGCTGCTCCTGGCCCTCTGCTCCGCTGCCCAGCTCCTCCCTTGCCTTTGCCAGTCCCCTGGCCACTCAGTGCTCTCTCCCAGCCTGTGACTCTGCTGCTCTGGTGCTCTGCCAAGAGGCCAGAGCCAAAAGGGCTGGCAGTGGCTGAGTGCGGCCTTATCAGTCCCTCAGGCCAGTGGCCCCGCCCCCTGCTCTCTCCTGGCCTCTCTGGCCCCGCCCCCTTCCCCTCCGCTGCTCCTGGCCATGATGATGGATGATGGAGATGGGACTGGCATTGGAGAGTCAGGGTTTGATTGTGCTTCCGACGGGGAAGGTTACCACTGGAGTCACTTTCTAGTTCCAACCTGACTGGCATTGCTTACTGCTTTTTCTCTTCTCCTTCCATTTCCATCCCTTCTGTTCTTCCCTTCTTTCTTCCTCCTACTTGCTGCTTGCCACTGGCCACTCACAGGCACCCACTTGCTGCCTGCTACCTGTGGGTGTCCACTTGCCACTTGCGGAAGAGGTGGGACTTCTGGGTTTGCTCGTTTGTAAGGAGGCTGATGGGTACAAGACCTCCTCCTGCCCAGGTTCCTCAGCAACCGGTGAATGCAGGCAGGCCACCTTTGGTAAAGGAGGCAGCACTTAGCCAGTAAGGCTAGTAGCCACTGATGGCCTCCCTCTTCATGAATCTGTCCGATTTCTTTTTAAAGCTATCCAGATTGATGACCATCACGACTTCCCATGGCAGCAAATTCCATAGTTCAACTATACACTGTGTGAAGAAGTACTTCCTTTTATCTCTCCTAAAACTCCCACCAATCAGCTTCATGGGATGACCCTGGGTTCAAGAGTCATGGGGGAGGGAGAACAATGTCTCCTTCTCTGCTTTCTCCACACCGTGCATTACTTTAAACACCACTATCATGTCTCCCCTCACTTGCCTTTTTTCTAAGCGGAATAGGCCCAGTTGTTGTAGCCACATCTCATAGGGGAGCTGTTCCAACTCCCTTGTCATTTTCTTTGCTGTTCTCTGTAGACCCAGGCTAGATGGTCTGACTTCGTCCGATGCTGCTGGGTGGGTTCTAGTTACTATTGCAGAATAAGCTGTGGCAATCAGAGGCTGATTGTTTGTTCATGATTGAAACTGTTGGATTTGTGGGCAGAGGCAAAATGGGCAAGAATTGATCAGAAAAATAATTCTAATTGTTAATCACTAGGCTTGCAATCCAAGAAGCCAAAGTGGGATGACATCAAAAAGAAAAAGAAAGAACTAAAGCAGAGTCGACAGCTGAATGACAAAACCAACTATGATGTAGTGCTGAAGGGAAAGCAGATTTGGGAAACTCTGCGGCGGTAATAATGATTTCCATTGTATTTTCCATAGCCGGCATTACAATTGGATTTTCTCCCATGCAGAAATGTTCGTTCTGCTGTACACATCACTGCAGTATATGTGTACATATTGTTTATTCCTATATCCCATGGATGGATTTTAGGATAAAGGTTGCTATGTTTGTTTTTCTAATCATTGATAACAAAAATAACATCTGTCAGGTTTTTTAAAAATATAACTAAAGGATTTCATACAGCCAAAAAAAATCACAGTCAACGAGGTAATCTATGAGCTAAGCTGCCTGTGATGTCAGCCATCTGACGGCATGGGACGGGGGTGGGGGAGGGGGAGCTCTCTCATTTTATCATACCCCAGTGCAGAGTAGATCAGATTACAGGATAGTAACCTGTCCAAGGTCATTTAGGGAGCTTCAAGGCTGATCAAGGATTTCAAGCCTTGAAACTCCCAAATGACCTTGGGCAGGTTACTGTCCTGTAATCTGATCCTCTTCACACTAGGATATTATAAAATGAGAGTCCCCCCGCCCCCCATTCATTTCCCTGTATAAATGAAGTAAAACTCAATTTAGACCTTTGCCATTAGTCACTTGCAGAAGTTACTGAAGTGACTTCCCTTTTGTTGTTAAGAGTTGAAAATTGAGGCTGTGCAGTTTTGTAGCTTCACTACAGGCTCCTCCTCAGCTATTAGCCTTATTTCTTAGTGTCTGTTTGAGTCACCTGCAAATTTGATTGTTGAGATTTCAAATGGAGAACAGGGCAGTAACAAAATACTGCAACCTTTCTGCTGCTGACATGCATTGCTTTTGATTCTGAACAATCCTTTTTACAATTTTTAAAATGACATGCCAATATTATATGCCAGTGAACTTCTAAAAGTTCAGAAGAATTCCGTTGTTAAGAAAAAAAGAGTTGTTGACTTACCTATGGGAACTGCTTCCTTTGCTAGGAAAGACTGTAACAAGGAAAAGCGCAAGAAGCTGCTGGGTGAACTTCAGGAACTACTTCGTGGGAAAATTAAGAATGTAAGTAGTGCAGCATTGCAAAATTTGCAAAGCAATACATGCTGTAACAGAATGCACAAACTGCTGAAATGTTGTGGGTAAATGGTGAAGAAGCATATGAATTGTACTGCTTCTGTCCATACAATTATGGCTGAGATCCAGAATGGTCCTTGAAGGTACAAAGTCACTGCTGCCCTGTTCTGAATTTGCACCAGTTCCTTCTTTGTGTTGGAGTCTGCACCACCTCCCAGACAGTTCCAGAAGGTCCTAGTCCAAGACACTGCTTCTCATGTGGCAGAAGGGGCAATAGCCAGAGATCGGAAAACCCCAATTCTCTGGATCCCACTCATTGCTTGTCTACTACTTGGCAGTTCTGATTTTTTTTAAAACCAAAAAAATTAATGCAATTTGCTTTGTAGCAAGTGAGATTATAATAGATGCTGTTATTATTTTTATTAGTTGTAGGTAACAGCTGAAATGCCAGATAATAGAGTAATGAAAGTATGGAAGCAATTTTCTTCACATTAGTTAGTGCATTTCTTGCCCAGGGCTTTACTGCTCCAAGGGCATCCATACTGTTTGTTCCTTTATTGTATTTGTGTTATATCATTTCAGACCAGCTGTCTTTAACCTTTGTTCCAGGGTATCATTGTAGATATCTATAAAGATAAATGAACTAAATTATCCAGAATATAACACTGCCTAAATGACTTGATTCGTTTTTTTCACAGATGGCATTTGCTCACGATTCAACCCGTGTCATCCAATGTTACATTCAGTTTGGTGATGAGAAGCAACGACAAGAAGTATTTGAAGAATTAAGAGGTATAATTTTCAGATTACTTATGCTCACATGGTGCCTCATGGTTGTTCCTTTCTCAGTGTGATTTTTCATCCCGCAGAAAGCTTCATTGAACTAAGCAAGTCCAAGTATTCTCGAAATATTGTGAAGAAACTCCTAGTGTATGGGTAGGTACCTTGCATATCCATATGCTTAGGTTTTGTTTAGCTTGCATGACTTCCCTTTGAGTCTGAAGCAACCCAACCTCTGTTAGAGACACAGGACTGATGCTCACACGTAATGTTAAATCAAGCTGTGTGGTTACTGCACAGCATGGTAGCTCACCTTGTGTGTGGTGTCCAAGCATTCATGTGATCACTGCTCACAAGCAGCCTCCATACGTCTCCATTGCCACATGGCGGTCAGTCAATCCCAGCATGCACTGCACCTGCCTGCATGGCCTGCCTTTTCTCCCACTGACCCGCAGGCTCCCCTGACATGTTCTCAGCAGTTGCTGTTGTTTTTTTCTGTTGCTTTCCAGAGCCACTGTCTACACGTTTCAGGTTGGTTGCTCTGCAGGAGCAAAAGAATAGCACCCCCATTGCTGCCACTCTCCCTGCCCATGCGTAAGAAACCCCACCCATACTCTCCCTCCCGCACTGCACATGTGACACACACACACATCCCATGCTGAATTTGCATGCAGAGCCAGGGCCACCTTTCCCCGCAGCCTGGCACGCAGAACAGAGGGAGCGCATCCCGCCAGCCAGACTTCCTGACCGTGCCTGCCTGACTATCTGCCAGCGGACTCTCAGGAGCGGGCCGGTGGGGCTTGCGTGGATTGTCAGGGACAGGGAGGCTGAGTGGGAGTCATGGGCTTCTGGGATGCTTGTCCTGGTGGTGGTACACTGTGTGCTGCCAGTGCGCTTCTCTGCAGTCGTTCGGCAGAACTGGTCAGTGGTAGAGGGTGGCTGGGGTGGTTGCCAGTGCTGCAGCTACTCATGCCACCAAACGTGTTGGCATAAACAGGGAAATTATGGAAAAACTTTGCAACTGAATTTACATATAATACTAAGCAATGGTGAAACATGGAAGCAGGTTGATTGTGGGGGTTCACAGATACCAAACATGCCACACTTCACCACGCTTGCTGAATTCACACATAATGCTAAGCAATCCCCAGCATGGCTTGTTGTTACGTGTGAACACAGCCAGTTTGTAAAGGACAGGCTGTTGGAGTTGAACTTACTTAGTCAACAAAGCTTACTGGGTAGTCTTGAGCCAGGTCATTCTCTGTCCTTCTAACCTATGTTGGAGCAACTTAGAGATGCTTGAAATGAGCTTCAGCAGAATAGGAATGAGAATGGATTCTCCTTGCATCCCACTAATTCCATTTAGTGATTCCATGGAGCCCATAGCCACACTTTGGAAAATCCTTGTCTGTTCAAAGGCCTGTTTCTTGAGAAGGGGAGGAATAATTTTTGGTCTTCTAGTATTTATGCCTGCTCAAGACTAAAACAAAAGGCTACTTTGGCTTTGATTAATGTTGACTTTAATGCTCCTAAAGCAGCTCCTCATAGAACACAATCTGCTGTAGATCAGACCCAGTGCCAATTAAACCTAATTTGTTTGGCAAGTTTGTTTCCAGAAATCAGGGAAAGGAACCATCTGGCTCCCCAGATGATGTTGAGTTACAACTGGCTAGGACTGATGGGAGTTGCAGTCCACTAAAATCTGGAGGGCACACATTCCCCATCCTTTCTACAAGCTATGTTTACCCATACCGTTTTCTAGTGCTCAGCTCAGCATGAGGAACTGACCCCCTTCCTACAAAATTTGATGCATGTGCCAGAGGGCTCAGAAGGACAGGCTTGGTATCAGGAAAGCAAAGATGGTGGGTTGCTTCTAAGCAGAGCCAAAATGTGTGAAGTCCTCTCATTCCAGGATAGTTCTGTAATGCAGACTTGCTGAACAGAGTGTGTGTGTGAGGAGAGGTATTTAATACATGACTGTTTAAAGCAGGCTTCTGTACATCTGGTACTTCCAGATGTGTTATACTACAACTATAGTCAGCCCCAGCCAGAATGGCCACTGGTCTGGTGGTAAGCTAAAACATCTGAAGTGCCCTAGGTGGGGAAACATGAATTAAAAGTTGCTGGTCTCCGTTCCTTTCCTTTCCGTTCCTTTCCGTTCCTTTCCTTTCCTTTTGTTCTGATCTGCTGGATGCTACTATCCATAGACTGATACTTATTTCTTGAACAGGACAAAGCCGCAAATTGCAGAAATAATAAAAAGCTTTAAAGGTGAAGTGAGAAAGATGCTACGGCATGCTGAAGCATCTGCTGTAGTGGAATACGCATACAATGACAAAGCCATTTTGGAGCAAAGAAATATGTTGACAGAGGAACTTTATGGGAATACATTCCAAGTTTGCAAGGTAATGTATTGAGACAGCTTCCTCTTTCACTGAGAAAAAGAGGACAGCTTCCTCTTCCTGTAGCTTTACCCCTTATCTATCATCTAAAAATGCAGTGAGTTATAAGGGCAAAAAGGAAGGCCAAGCAAATATTAATAAAAATGCAACAGCCTACTTCCAGAGGAGGAACTCTAAACGAGTTCCCATGTGCATTCACCTGCACATGTGTCATACTTGGTGCCTGTATGAGTTCCCCCAGGAGCAGAATGGCTCCCTTCCTGTACTTTCAGTCCCTTCTTGGGGCTAGAAGATACCTGCCCAGTCTGTCCAGGAAATAAAGATTCCCCACCCCAGTAACTTTGCAACTATGAAGACTAAAGTTACCATCTATCTTCTAATCCTATCTCTGATTCACATGATTCTAATTAACTTCTTGCAGCTTTGTTAAAACTTTAGTCCAGTACAGCCAGGTGCTTATTTACTTTCTGTGTGTGTGAGAGACCTAATCACTTCAGAAATTACTGAGGCTTGAACATAATTTACTTTGCCCCTTTTTTATAGGTTGAATGTGTTAGATCTTGGTCCAGCTTACTGGCAGAAGCCAACTTTCAATGCTTCCAGCTATAATTAAACTTGTGTGGTGGGAAATTTAAATTCTCCAGGCAAAACTACATATTTGGTTCTTGTGCTGTTTAGAGATCTGTGGAGAGCTTCTTTAAATATAGTTCATTAATTTTTGAAATAGTATATACTAAAAAAACCAGAGTAGGGAATCTTACAGTAATGTAACATTTCAGGTCTATTTCCCCAGCCCTTTTAATCAGAATTGTCAGTTTCAAAGATTTAATCAGTCATCCTTGATTAACGTTCAGTATGTAGCTGATTTATTAGGAATTCATGTATTTGGGAATCTGAACTGAACCATTCTAATCTCTATTTTAAAAAATCAAGGGTTAATGAAGTTCTTTCAACAGCTTTAAAATCGTGAATGCTAATATGCTCTCATTTTTTGCTCTCATTGTGTGAGTTACCATATTCTTCAAGAGCTATATATCATGTTTTGAGTCTTTCTTTAATAAGGGACCAGTTAATAGGAGTTCCACTTTGCACACTAATTAGAAACCATACCTTTATCAGAAAGTGGTAGCTATCCACATGAATGTAACAAGTACCCATACCTAACCTTTTAAAAGGCTGTATGAACAGAGGCTATTTCACCCACTTTAATAAGTACTCCATTCCACAGATTCCATTTGCAAGTTATACTGTGATCCTAAGCATGCTTCTGTAGAAGTCAGCTCAGTGTGACTTGATACTTTATTGCTTAATTTTGAATTATGTTGGACATTGTAATCCAAGGAGACAGCTTTCCTAACGGCTTTGGATATGTGTGAGGGTGGGGAATTGACCCCAGTATTGCTGTCAGTTAGAAACTTTTTATTTATTTATTTTTCAATTTATATCCTGCCTTTTTTCCTACAAAGGGCTCAAGGCAGCTTACATCTCCTCCTCCATCTTATCCCCACAACAACAACCCTGTGAGGTAGGTTGGGCTGAGAGTCTGTGACTGGCCCAAAGTCTCCCGGTTGGCTCCATGGTTGAGCAGGGACTAGAACCCAGATCATCTGAGTCCCAGTCCCATGCTCTTAACCACTACGCCACACTGGCTCTCCTAAGTTAGTTTGAATTAATGCATGCACAGTGCCAGATTTAAGGAGGTCTGGCTATGGATATAACAAGATGTGTTTTAGTGTCGTTACATTTCTTCTTTCGTTGTCCTGCAGCTATAAGAGAGGCTTCAGCTATTGGGCATTATAGAGAGGAGAATAATACTGTCATTAAAATTCAATATAATGGATGTTATGCCTTACAGTCATCAGAGCACCGAACTCTGAATGAAGTGTTGGAGGCTCGGCCTGAAAAGCGGGAATCTATTATGGATGAAATGAAACAAATCCTTACACCAATGGCGCAGAAGTAAGAAAAACAACTGTTGGCGTGCATCGTTCAGTAAGCTGTTTGGGGTGATGCAGGGATACATTTGAAATGGTGACATTTAAATTCGAGAAATCAGAATAATTCTTACCAGAATGACTTATCATGAAACATGTATGCATAATTTGCTGCTCTTAGGCTTTTGGGAAAGCCCTAAGCTTCTTCAGGCAAGACCCAACTGCTTCTCCTTTATTGGCTCCATCCTGGGGACAGACAGATGCTTGAGTCTCGTAACTTGGCTAGGTCCTGACCACTCAGTTCTGTGACAATCATCATTTAAATATGACTGCAGATGACATGCTTGGGCTTCTGGCAAATACAGTTCTGTGCGCTTTAAAATGTCAGTATTTCACATTATCCTGTAAATGCAAATGCTATTTCCTTTTTGTCCTTATTGTACAGGGAGGCTGTAATAAAGCATTCATTGGTTCATAAAGTTTTTTTGGACTTCTTTATTCATGCAGTCCCTAAGCAGAGATCTGTAAGTACTGGCATACCAACACTAGTTGTTTAATGGGTTTGGATTATCTGTTTTCACATTACTTAATATATTGTACAATTGTGCACCAAGCATTTAGTGCTATCTTGTTATCCGGGCATTTTAACTGAAAATATGTCCACTCTGATCTGGCTAAGGATAACTACACCCTTTGGCCGACTTTGTGCAGTCTTTACTGACTGGGTATGGCATTAGTGAGCAGTATGCATGCTGTCTCTGATAAGTGGAATGTGATTTGGGCTGATATTGTTATATATAAAAGAATAAGCCATAAGTTGCCATGGAACAGAGGAATGAACATCATCCAGACTTTCCCCAAATGTTGGATGTCATTTATCAGTTACTGGTATGAGTTCTGGTCAGGTGATTTAACAACTATAGATGTGCCATATCTGTGTAGAATGGGAGTCCTGTAACTGTCTTCAGTGACTGGAAAACTAAATAAGAGAAGTTTGTAGTGTAGCTCTGAAGCACCCCATTTTCAGTGGGATGCACTCCCTTCTCTTCCTTACATGCCTAGTCTTAAAACTGGACCAAGAATTAGATCAGGGTGGTCACCTGTACTATTCTTCTTGTACTTGGCTAGAGATTTTCCTTTACTGCATCGTTCTGTCAGAGTAACGACAAGGAAAACAGCAGGCTGGTATCTATAAGTAGATACAGAAAGCAAACTTAGGTTGCCTGTGTGTAAAAAATGGAATCCTGAGTCCTAGGAATTGAAATATTGAAATATTTTTCCAGTCTTGGTTGGTTGTAAGAAAATAAAATGCAGCCTACAGATGTGATCAAAAGAATTATGTTTTTACAGATTCTTAGAGATTTGTGTTGCCTTTTTTAAAACGATGGCTCTTTGTGTCTAGGAAATGATTGAAGCAATTAGAGAAGCTGTGATCTACTTGGCACACACGCACGATGGGGCCAGAGTAGCCTTGCACTGCTTGTGGCATGGGACCCCCAAGGTATGGCATGTGAAAGTGCTTGTTAGAGTCCTTTTCTAAATAAGATGAATTGCTTGGAGAAAAATGGGATTGGCCGCTCTCTAAAAATTGGCACTAGAGAGCCTTTTACATAACACAGTTACCAGCCATTAAGCTTTGACTTTGGCAGATGTGACTAGTACTAGAAAGTAAAGAAATGCCTATTCATTTTATTATACTATTGGAGAGATACTGGTTCTGTAACGTATATGCTATGGCAGGTTTTATCATGATCTGTAGGCATGCTTGAAATCCAGACCTGAGAGAGTGTGATTGGTCTTCATTACATAAGTGCTGAAATCTGAAACTTGTATGTAAACTGTTTGCTGTCAGGAACTGTGTCCAGGCTTTTTCAGACCTCCAGAGGGAGGGGGAGAGAAGAAAAAAGCTCTCCTAATACAACTCCCTGTGATTCGCTCTATGACAGATGACAGACTGGCACAAACCTACAGGCTGATTGCAGCTGCTTCCTATGCCTGTTATCCACCCCCGGGGGAATTCAGATCCCTCTTTGTGGGCAATGTGTGATTTGTGTTGTGCACCCCACTTTATTATTTAAGAGGTAATGCTGGAATTTCCTAAAGATTCCCTTTCTTTATGCTGCAGTATTTGTGAATTGAAAGTGGTAGAACAAAGGACTGACCTATTGAATAACCTCTCCTAAAAGTAGCCTGCACGTCTGCTTAGTGTCAGTCCAACACTCTACTCTTTGATATTTAATAAAGAAAGATTAGGTATGCTAAATTCAACAGTGATTCTTCATAGTAAGTTTCTACATTTATAATACCCTTTGAAGCACACTCTGGGGAATTTTAATTGATTTGGTATTCATATAGGCTGTGCCTTCCCAATGATTTCCTACGGGATACCTGGCATTTGCAAGCTCAGCAGAGCAGGAGTGGTTGAGGGACGTTTCGCAGCATAATAAGCCAGCTTTGAAGGCCCTCTGCAGGATGGTGTTCCATTTCTTTTACAGAAGAGGGACTCATAAGTGTCTTGGACCTCTTAAGCAGTCTTTGCCACCATTCTTTTGTATTTTCTTCATCAGTATAGTGACGAAGAAAATGTAAAGTGTGGTGAAATTTATATCATGTGGCAGTATATTCCGTTCTAAAGTTACAAGTTTATTCACTTCTTTTGCTAGGATAGAAAAGTCATTGTGAAAACCATGAAGACATACATAGAAAAAATAGCTACTGTAAGTATTTTTAAAGAATTGTCTGGCTAATTCTGTGTGGATCAATGCTGTTCTGTGCATGTTAACTCTGCTATATTGAAGTAAGGCTTACTCCTTAGTAAGCAGCCTAAAAATACCTCTTCTGTGCTAGTGTGAGTTACAAAGCTTGTGAACTGTGTGGTGCTGTGTGAATTCGGAAGAAGTTAATCTGGCTCGGTTCTGGCCCATCTAGTTCCATAATGTCAACAGTGAATGGGCCAATCCTCCAGAATTTCAGGCAGGGTTCTCTCCTAGCTCTGCTGGAGAATCCAGGGATGGAACGTGGGACCTTCTGCATGCTGTGGCCCACACAGGAGATGGCAGTCAGAATGCTCTTTGTTAAGTGCACAGGTGTATGTAAGAAGCAGCAACCCATCCTATTTAAAAATATAAGTCCCAATGCATCGTTTGGACATAGAGCCAAGTAGAAGAGATTTCCATAGTAAGGGACCAAGACAGAGACAGGATGTGTACAGGCAGTCCCTGGGTTACAAATGAGTTCTAGTCCTGAGAAAATGGAAATTTGTCGTTAAGTTGAATTTGTATCTAAGTCAAATCTTGTTTAGTTGGCCCTCCATATTCATGGAGTTGGGGTGCAGAACCCCCATGAAAGTGGAAAAATCAGGACTATCTCTGTCCGCCACGCACAACTTACCAATGACTCCTCTTTGTAACAAAGAAATGCCCAGAGGAATTTCCCCCTTCCTGGGGCAGGAAGTCATACTTTGGAGACCTCCCTCTCTACCATTTAACTTCCTCTCTATGGTGATGATGATTTCCTGCAGTACTTTTAAAAATTAATAAGCTTTATGGCAGTTTGTAAGTACAGACTGTTCATAACTTGGATGTTTGTAACTTGGGGACTGCCTGTATATGTATGGTTTTGTGCAGTTGCAGTATGTGCTGATTTCCATGGGATGCTTCTATTCATGGCATGGCTTGAATAAATAAGACTTTGTTCTGGTCTTCCTTTGAAGAGAATCTGTTTTTCTCACAAGCAGTGTAGAACTAACAGCTGCTTCTAAGCAGCATTCTTCTCCAAAGTCTAGCATTGCCACCGAAAACATGTTCACTCGGATGTAAGCTTCACAGAGTCCTGTAGGGTTTCATTTTTAAAATGTGCATGGATTATATAAGATACCATAACCAAGTTTGTGTATTTTACAGTGCTTTTGATGTTCTGGCTTATATTTCAGGGTGAATTCTCACACTTGGTTTTGCTGGCGGCATTTGACTGTATTGATGACACCAAGCTTGTGAAACAGCTAATTATATCTGTAAGTAATCTGATTTCCTAAGATTCTCTTTTCCAGTTTGCTTCCCAGAAAGTATACATTTTATTGGAAACTTTGTTGTATTTTTTAATGCTGGATTTGCAAGCTGTTTAATTTTGTTTTAGAAATCATCTTGTCTTTTCCTAGATCACTTTGATTATATTTGTTTGCTACATGCATAGCTAAAAAGGTGCACTGGGTGGTATACAATAAGTAAAACAACAATCAAGCACCAAGTAAACAATAACATTCAATTAAAACAATAAGAGAATAAACAGTAAAAGTAAAAACTATTGGAAAAAATATAAACAATCTAATCCAAACTTAATTATAAAAACAATTTGAAAATAATATTTTTATAAATACAGTGTGGTGGTTAAAAACTCTTCAGAAGGCAGCAGCAGTATCAACAAACCATATTAAAGCCAAATTAATCACCAAAACAAGTGCAGAATAAAAGGGTTTTCCGCTGGTGACGAAAAGAGAAACGCAACGATGCCTGGTGAATCTCTGTAGGAAGCGAGTTGCAAAGGTGGGATGCTGCAGCGGAGAAGGCCCCTCTCCTGGCCATTTCCTCCCTCACTTCATTAGGGGGTGGCGCTTGGAGCAGGACCTCCAACAAAGGCCTCAGTGATCAGGCAGGGGCTGGTGGAGACAGGCATGCCCTCAGGTATCCGGGCCCCACCCCGATTTTGTGGTAAATTAGAATGTTGCTATTGATGACCTACTGCTCTAACTTTAAGTATTTTAATGTGCCTGAATCTTTTAAATGATTCTGGCTGCTTGTGCATGGAAATAAAATACATCTGGCAAGGTGATCTTTTTGCCTTGCTATTAAAGGAGGATACTAGATTTACAGTATATTTCTGACTATGTTTAAAATAGGGAGGTCTAGAGAGCTGTGACTATTGGGTGGTAAACAAGAATGAATGAATGAATAAATGTGTACTCTATTATCCATAAATGTGTGTACGTGCACACATATCAAACTAAGGGTTTGCGTGCCCAAGAGCAAAAGAATATCCACAGTACATAAGAAGCTTATTTCTGTCTCCTCCCTCCTCAAGTATAATGGCACTTGGCACACATCTCTTGTCCGTCCAAGAATATGCTTACAGCAGCTTGCTCCAGCATGTGTTTGCCCAGGGTGGGGCTCTGGGGAGCAGGACAGAAAACAGCCCTCCACTGCGTGGGGATGATCCCTCCACATGTTGGAGTTCTACTCGCAGTGGACTTTGCAGTGCAGTTTTTTTCTGGCCTGTGCACCCAGCCGTTCTCTTCAGTGTCAGTGTCAGCCACCCGGTCGGTCAGTGGCTGCGCTTGCTGCCGGAAAGGGGTGCAGCTAGTGGAGGCGCCGGGCTCCTTTCCTGGAGAGTCCCTCCCACCCAGCTGCACCTGGCTTGTGCAGCACTTGGGGCCTGATTCCTGGCAAGGGCCTCGTGAGCCCTGGGTGTGCTCACCTGGAACTTGGATTCAGGTCTCCTGCAAAGTGGGCTGGAGTCTGGGTAGCCAGGCCCAGGGAAGCTGACGGATTCTCCCCCGCACATGGATTCCTCACCCATCCCTGCCTAAAACCTTTGTAACCCAAGATTATTTGTGATAAATCTGCAGCTGGACAACCTTGGCCTGGTTTGCATGCTCAAAACAAGCCACACACACTGAGCATACTTTCTGTTAATTGATGCCTGTCTGTGGCACCCTGTGTCAGTTCAACTTGAGTGACACGGCTTGTTGGACAGGTGCTTAACCCTCCAAAAGTCTGTTCTCCCTGGGCTGGATTAGTTCAATGAGCAGTGCCTGGGAGGTGAATCTGCAAACTGACACACTTTACATACTAGCCATGCATAACTCTCTGCCCCAGTAGAAAATAAGATGTAGCTCCTCATTCTGTTATGGTGGAGTCCCATGAAAAAGTGTTATCGGGAGGTTTGTTGATTTCTCACTGCAGCAATACAGAAATTTCTTAGCCAAAATGGCCGTTTATTTTTGATCCCCCCCCCCCCAAAAGGGGAGGGTCCAGCTCATAGAGAATGGTTTCTCCTTTTGCTTTTGTTGTTGCTGTTCTGGGGTTACTTACCATGAAGATACAGCATTGCTTATCTGCCCCCTTTAAGGGAACTAGTCTGCTCAGTTAAATGCATTTAGCTGTAATCCTGTTACAGTGTTCTTGCCAAAAATGAAGACCACACTTTAAAATCCTGTTTGAAAGCCCTTTGCTTTCTGCTGGTGGGAGAGGCATGAAATGACAGGCCAGTTAGCTGCACATCTGTTTTGAGTAAATTGGTGGCTGGCATTATTAAAGATTAGACTGAGGGTCAAAATAGACAAGATTATGAGAGAGTAATGACTGGATTAAAAATTTTTTTAGATGTATGTGTATCACTGTGTGATGTCCATTTGTATGTCTGCCTGTATATGGCTTTTCTATAATGCATATTTAAAGTTTTAATCTTCGTAAACCACCCAAAGAGTATCAACTATTGGGCAATATAGAAATGTAGTTCATGAAAATAAAAGAAATTGATCTTTCATGAATATGGATAGTCCTTAAAAGGCTTTAACAGTTATGAAATGTAACAACTGTAAGAAGCATCAAGCAGCTGTTTCTTAGTATAAGAAAAAAGTTCCGAAAAACAGATCTTGACTAGTATAAAAAATATATTTTTGTCGGAAATGTACTTACCCTCAAAAGAATTTGTGGTGGCTGTCCTGAAGCTACAATGTTAAATGCTCAAAATATGAAACTCATCTCAGGGGGAATTTGGAGTACCCCTTTTATTTTTTAATTTCACGAGGCCTTAGCAGCTATCATACCAAAGAGGAAATATTTGGGATCTTCAAAGTACTCTAAACAGTCAAAGGCCCAGAAGACTTCTCATGATTTCAGACATGGGCCCAGCAATAGTTGCCTTGCACACTCCTATAGAGTCCTTTTAAAAAATTATTTAGAAGTTTTTGGATATCTTTAGCTATGGCTACCCTTGACAAATTTAAAATGAGTACCATGAGCAACTGGTGGTGATTAGGGGAATCTAACATGCATGAGAATTTGAGGACTTGTTGAAAGCTTGAATCCTTATTGCTGTTAGCACAACTGTCTATAAAATTTATCCTTTGCATAGCAGAAAACAAAATGGCCACTAGGGAAATAAGCATATAATCCCCAGAACCACCTGCTGGAAAGCTCTGCTGGCTTTGTTGCTGTCAGCAGTGGGCCCTGGAGGAGGGTGTTCTTGGGTGCTGGTAACTCAGAGCCTTGGATCTGATGGACCTCGCCATTTTTCTGTGAGGCCCCAGGATCAGGTCCTTTCCCTGCATGGTAGCGCAGGCATTTTCCCTCCTACTACTTTCACCTGGAAGGATTTTTTTTCTTTTTCTTTTAAACAGCTGGCAATTGGGAAAAGGATAAGCCGATAGTTTGTCAGAATTGGTGTGTGATGTGCCACTTCACTTCCCCCCAAACCTAGGGTTTCTGTTCCCAAAACTGTGTTCCTTGATTTGTTGTGTGGAACTGAGTTGTTAGGTACATTGAATTTTTAACCAAGTGTACAACTCAAAGATATCAAAGAGAATTTCTATAGAAAAGGTGGATTGGCACCATTTCTAGAAGGTAGTAATGCTGTATAATTTAAGAGCCACTTTATTAAAACAAAGAATAAAACAATTACCTGTAATATTATATTAGTATTCTTGACTATCCATATCTCTCTGTGATAAGGGCAGTATTGCTACAAATGTCAATTAAATGTGTTGGATTAAGCTAATTTTCCAGCGACATTAAGAAGCACACTTTGGTTACAGTTGCAATTGTCATTGGGGATTTTACATTTAGGAGCTGCTGTGCAGAGTAGGCGAGAGTTTCAATTACAGCAGGTACCTGTAAATCTAGTGCTACAGTCACAAGAAGTTATATGCTCCATGTATAAATTAGGACATAAAGATGAGTATAAGGCAGGCATTTTCTGTTTTCCATTCCATGGACTTGGGAGGGCTACTTTAAGAATTCTAAATATTAATCATTGCTCTTTTGAGAGCATTTAAAGTAAAAGGATATGGCATAAATTACAGCTTGGAGAGTCTTTAGAATATCAGATTTTCCAGACGTGGTTGAATGTAACTTGTTCAAAGGGTGTGTGTACACACCACTGTAAAGCTTAGACATGGGCAGTTTTGTACCTTTGCCAGTTCAGTTACTCAGGTTATGCTTGCCCAGGTATTTGAGATAATTGCACTGCTGGAAACTTTCCAGCATATTCCCTGCTATGCCTGAAATGTAAAGAATGGCTTCTAGCACATCTTGTTGAAAAGATGATTGCTCCACAATAGTCTGACTTGTGCTGCACTTTCCTTGGCTCTCCATTGTTGAACCATAGTTCTGACATACGGATAATGAGCCAGAAACAGTACTATCGATCATCAGTATCTCAGTCAATACCCACATTGCATGTTGCTCATTTGCTATGAGAGTGAAGAATAAACCTTGGCAGCCTTCTAATGCCATGCTTCTAATTTCACCCTCCCATGTCAGTGAGTCTATTCCCTCCCTTGCTGAAGCCCACAGCACAACAGTCGTGTTCTTTGGTACTTGGAATAGCAATTGCCTGGGAAGAGTTTTTGCCAAGTGTGTTTTATTTGTGGCATGTTACTTAGTCTTCTTGGATGGCAAAGAAGTGTCCCTACTGTCTTTCAGACTTGTAACTGCCCACAGCTCTGTGGCTTGTTCCTTTTATGACTAGTTTCTTACCTGTCAAACAGTATACCAGACCCATGCCAGAGGCAGCTCCTTCATTGTGTGGCATTTCTGTTCCCTTGAGCCTTCTCTGCTTGTTGATGGGGTGGCAGGGGTGGAGAACCTTCAGCTTTCTCTGGCTGCTGGTAGACATTTGCAAGAGCAGAGCAGAGCAGTCTGTGTGTGGTGAATGTGCTTCTGTAGCTAGATCTCCCTGCTCATTCATTGGTAAAGCATGGATTAAGCAAACTTATCTTTGATGTATGAACACTATGAACATGATTTTGTTTATTTGTTACATTGATATCCTGCCCCATAGCCCAAAGGGCTCTCTGTGTGGTTTACAGTAAAATGCAGTAAAATTAACAATATGTTAATAAAACATAGTGCAGTAAAAGACAATTAAAACAGTTCAAAAATCTGACAGTTAATGGCAAAGGAAGGGAAAAGCAAGGCATGGAGCAAATCAGAATAAAAGCAATGTTAGAAACCAATTTCAGCTACAGTAACACCTGAAAAATAAAAAGATCTTGGCCTGGTGCCTAAAAGGGAGCGGTGATGGTGCCAGGCAAACCTCCCTGAGGAGCATATCCCACAGGTGGGGTGCAACCAAAGAGAAGGCCCTTCTTCTAACTGCCACCCCTCTCACTCCTTGATAAGGCTGGCTCTTGGAGAAAGACTTTTGTCAAAGATCTTAGCAATATGGAGATAGGCAGTCCTTCAGATAGTCTGGCCTCGAGCCATTTAGGACTTTGTATGTTAACAACAGCACTTTGAATTGGGTCTGGACTTCATCACACAGCCAGTGCAGCTGGAAAAGGACTGGCTTAATGTGTTCTTACGCTGCTCTGTTCTGAATGAAGATGGAGTGTCTGGACTGTTTTCCAAGCCAGATTTGCTGCTTTGATGTGGAATTCTGTTGAAATATTGTGACTTGTTATGTAGCCACATTATATCCATGTTGTTGTTGGTTTTGTAATTTTAGTTGTGGCATGCCTTGAGCATTTGCAGAAGTGCCTAGGACTTTGGACTGTCCTTTACTTCACCTTGTGTCTTAACAGCTGCTGTCAGAAATGATGGCATTGGCTGTCCCTTAGCTTGAGTGAGGAGAAAAGTTCTTGAAAATGCCTGCAGCATTTGACAGACTGCAACATGGCATGTACTGCAAGAAAACGTTGGAAAACTGGATTTACTCAGCATGTGTCATGCTACAGTATTGTTCATACGGTTGACCTTCCTAGCCAGAAGTGGCATCCTACCAAAAAAAGGGGGGGGGTGTTAGTTTACTCAGTCCATCAGTTTGTGACTTAGTCCTTAGTACTCTAAAGTAACCTTGCTTGATGAGCAAGTACACTGATACTTCCTGAATGTCAGTTACAGGAGGACATTCTTACAGCATCTTGTCACCTCTCATTTCCAATAATAACTGTAGTACTGCTTCCTGTATAAAGACCTAGGGGTACTTGTTTCAACTTAGTATCCTGGAAAGGTTTACTGATCATTCTTGTTCCAAGGACATGGAAGTGGAACCAGTGCAGTGTTATTGAAAAGCAGGTATCTAGTTAGACTTTGCAGTTATGGTGAACATCTTTCTTCTAACTTGAAAATAAAAAGTGGTGACAAGCAAAGCTAGAATTCACAGGAATTTTCTGTACTTAAACCACACTCCCACATATCTAAAACTTAAGTGTAGCTGCGTATTTGTTTAAGGTATGTTTAATATATTTTATCATTGATTATGATTAAATGTGCCAAAATGGAAACAAGAGAATAATCATACATAGAAAGCAGAGTACAAGAAATCAGGGTGCTGCCTTTCACATACCCATGGTTAAGCCCATTCTTGTCCATGCTCTGGAATGGGTGCCCCCACATGCAACATGCATCAGCAAAGTATACAATTTAGGCATAGCTGAGATTATCGCACTACATTTTACCTTAAAGGTAGTGATTTAAATTAGTCAAAATTTGGGCCCACAAACTCCAAGGAATTGAAAATAGAATTGGTGATTGGAAACAAATTTCCCACTACTAAGGTTTTTCTTCTTCTTTTTCCCAACTTCTAGGAGATAACTGATTCCTTAACCAGCATTATAAACAATAAATATGGAAGGAAAGTCCTATTGTATTTATTAAGTCCAAGGGATCCTACATATTTCTCACCAGCCATAATCAAAATTCTCCAACAGGGTGATGGAAATACTTGCAGGTAACTAGAAAATGCATATTTCTTGAATTGGGAACTTAATTGATTGCATCTTGGTGTCCCTATAAATATTTTTGTTACGTTTGTATTCTACTTTTTCCCCTCTTGTCAGGAACCTAAGGTGGTTTCTGTGATCTGCGTCCTCTCTATGCTATCCTGATGACACTCTTGTGAAATACATTAGGCTGAGAGTCACTGACTGATCCAAAGTCACCTAGTGAGCTTCATAGGAACTAGAACCTGGATTTCTGAAGTCCTAGTCCAGCACTGTAACTACTACTCTGCAGTGGCTGTCGATTTATTATGCATGGATTTATGCTGCAGACATATAACTTTCCCTTCTAAATGCATTGATGTGTAAAGGCAAAGAATAAATATTTTTAAAAGTATTTTTTTGGAGACTTGCATCAATTTGGTTTTAAGGAGCTGAGTTGTTGCTCTGTAGGCTATCTCACAGTAACTCCAGACAGTGTCTTGTTGCTGTTAATTTTTTTTATACTGCCCAGTAGCCAAAGCAGTTAACAACAGTACATAAACTACAATACAAAATACAGACAATGAAAACATTAAAATTACCATACAAAATTTAAAATCCAAATTTAAAACATGTGTTTAAAAAATCCGCAATAGCTTGGACAAATTAAATCATGAGAGCTATTTAAGCAGCTAACATAAACCTGGATATAGTAGTTTACCCTAACAGTAAACTAATGGAATACCTTGTGGTAGAAAACAGTCTTTCCTTGGCACTGAAAATGTGTTAACATTGGTGTCAGGTGGGCCTCAGTGGGGTGCTTGTTCCATAAGTGAGGAACCACCCCTGAAAGCCAATACAAGCAGGTCAGATTTGGTGTTTCATGCTGGGACCAACTGGCCCTTTCTTTAATCTACAGAGCCTGCAGCTTCTGAACAATATTTTAAGGGCAGCTCCCTGTTGAGTGCATTGCAGGAATCTACTGTAGAGCTTAATCAGTGGCATCTGCTATGAGCGAACTGCGTCATCACCTGCCTGACTGTGGCATATTGCATTGTCCGACAGCATGAACACCATGGCTTGTTAGAAGGAGGAGCAACCCCCAAGTAACCTAAAGCTCCTTTGAGAGTGGCTTTCCCCTTGAAGCCATGGTTCCCAGGTTGGGAAGATTGGGAGAAGCTCTGGCCAGGCAGGTGATTGTGTTCAGTTTAAAAAATTAATCATGGTGACTTTTTTAGTCTGTGATGATCATCTGATCTGGGCCACTATTTCAACCACAGCAGGAGTTTGCTTTTTAGGTTTTATAAACCATTTATGTGCTTTTTATGATATGGACTGTACTTAAAGTCTATTGTAAGATGATGTTGCCCATATTTCATTTGCTTCAAGGTAACTTATTAAATGGCTGACTATTTTGATTTCATAATCAGGTTCTTTCAATAAGGTACTCATCTGGAAAGGTTAAATCTGATGGACAGAACTGCAGCCTTCTGGCAATTTGAGGAAAACTTACTGTACTGATTCTGTTTGTCAGATCAAAAGGAATTAGCTTTGTGGCTAATGTTCACTCTGGGAGATCTTCCTGATGGCCACACTTGAGCAAGAAAATGTAAAAAAAAACAATATAAATATTGACAGATATTTCAATGAGGGAATATTATTGGTCTGCTCCTTGTGCAAATTTACATTGGATGGTGCTACAAATGTATCTTGACTGTTGTATTCAAACTGAAGCAGAATCCTCAAATCCAGCCATTTCTGATGAGGGAGGGAGGTCTCATGCAGGCATGGATCTCTTCTTCATTGATTCTGGTGGAAAGAACAGTTCTGCATGTACATGTTGTGGTGCGTCTACATCAGCTCCCTTCCTTCACAAGAACAAGCAAGCACATGTACATCACTGCTATCTCTGTAGGTCTCTGGATTGGATGGGAAACCAAAACCAAAGTTCTGCTCTTGCTGGTTATGTTCTTGCAAGAAATTAGAAGCTGCTGCTGTCAAAATCTGATTTTTAAGATGAGCAGCAAAAATGGCTTTAATTGTGCAGCATAGTTTTCTGTAATACGAGGGCAACTATTTACATGTCTTTCATTTCACCAGTAAAAAGGACACAGATATCCGTCGCCGTGAACTGCTGGAAGCAGTCTCTCCAGCCTTATTAAAGTACCTGAACCTACACACTGAAGAAATGGTGATGGACAAAGCAACATTCATTGTAGTGACTGGCATCCTCAAGACTGCTGTTGGTGATGTCCAGCCTGCTATGAAAGTGATTGCTAGTCTCGCTGCAAGAGAGATGATTCCAGGGGGTAAAGATGGGCAGGTAACTGCACCTATCAAGTGGCAGAGTTAAAACTAGCTGCCATTTTCTTTTTTCTCTCTGGGGTCTGCCAGAATTTGTCTGTAGAGTTGGGATAAACTAGGATAGCTCTCCCATATCTAGGGCTCTCCAGATGTGTTGGACTTCAACTCCCATAATTCCCAGCTGCCATCACTAATGGGGCCAATGGCCATGTTGAGTGAAGATTATGGGAGCTGCAGTTTAACACATCTGGAAGACACTAGGTTGGAGAAGGCTGAATTAGGAGATCTCCTAGTTTATCCGGATTCCACAGCCAGCTGCAGGAAGAACCTTGTCATGCTTACTGGGAATTGAATTCTTGGTTTCAGCTGAATGAATGAAACTAAAGACAATATTTTGGAACAGAAGAATTACATTTTCGAAAGCATAGTTAATGTTTTGTGATAGAGAAAGACGCAAGAGGTTACTTTTATCCAGTTCCTGAAACGTGCAGGTAGGGGAACAGCATTTCTACTAGTTAGTGTTTACAGTCTCATTTCCATTCCAGGAGATAGTTGGACTATTGCAGTTCATAGATGTATGAGTTTACAAATATGTACATGCCTGTATATAAGGAACATCAAATGCACCATTTTTGTATTTCAGCGTGTACATACGTTGTCTAATAGATAAATTCTAATGGGTTTCTGGAGCACATGCTGCATTTGCACCAAGTCTAGGCATGCTTAAAAACATGCTGGCAATTTGTAAAAGCACTGGGGAAGAGGTTACTGATACCTAGGTTTGAGAAAGTGTGTAGAACTTGTACTATTGCCCTAAAATACTGCCATAAGCAGATGGGCCAATACAGTGTCATACGGCATTTGCAAAATTTCTGAAATTTCGCTCATTGGTGATTAGTTAAGGTGCCACTTAGGTATATGGAGAAAGCGAATACATTTGTATTGAGCACCTCTAATGGGTATTAGCAGCGATGACGCTCTGGAAGAGGCAGTTTTTGGGATAGTGGGAAGCAAATGCTGTGGGGTCTTGACCATGCTGTTCTTTTAAAGCTTCATGTTGCAGAGCATCCAGCAGGCCATCTAGTTCTGAAGTGGTTAATCGAGCAAGATGAGAAAATGAGGGAGAACAGCAGAGAAGGTATGTTGGAATATCTGATTAAATAGAAGTTTGCACATCGCAGACTAGATTAACTGTGTCTAAATAGAAGAACGGACACTGCACCAGCTATTAATCATGAATGGTTAACTTAATCATGAATGGTTCAACTTAAGCTGAAGCACCCACAGTGCACAGTTCTCCCCCGCCCCAGCTCCCTCGGGGAGTTGCATATTCTTCAATTTTTTAAAATTTATTTATTTATTTATTTCATAGCCAAAGCGCCTTGAGCAGTTTAGAGCAAAGTAGAAATACAATAAAATACAGTAGAGAAATGTAAGAACAAGAATTAAAAATTAAAATAGCATAAAGGGGCATTAGAAGACAATAAAAAAGACCCAGCCAAGAATAAAAGAACAGCAGCTGGCTAATTGTGTCAGGCCCCTGAAGATTCAGGGAGCTCTTTCAAGGCTTCTGCAAAGAGGGCTGTCTTAACCTGGCACCGCAAAGATGGCAAATTTGGCTCCACGAGGGCTGTAACAGGGAGGCTGTTCCAAAGATGGGGGGGGCACCACAGAAGGGGCCCTCCCCTTAGTTGCCACCTTCTAAGCCTCTCAAGGGGTTGGCACCCATTAGAAGGCCCCAGAGATTGAACGTACTAGGTAGGTTGGGGTTGGCAGAAGAGCTCCAGGAGATGACGTGATCCCAAGCCATGATCTAAACTAACAGTGCCACTCCTTTGAAGGAAGTTTCTTTTCCCAGTGCAGTGTATTAAATAATTAGAGTACTTTCTAACAATGAGATCTTTTGCTAGTTTGAGGTATTCCAGCCGGGTTCTGATTTTGCCCCCTTTGTTTGCATGGTTGGGTTTCTGGTAGCACAAGTACAAGATACTTTGGCACTAGGAAGGATAGTGAGGTTGCTGATAGAAACGAAGGAAGGAATAGTTTAGGAGGCAGGCTGCACTATTGTAGCATTCCACTAAGGTGTAGTTTCTCCACACTGGCAGTGCCAGATGAGTTTAGGCATGGATGTGTGTGCAGAGAATGTTAAATAGGAAGGCATAAAAGGGAGCAGTTGTGAGGCAAATGTGCTTCAAGTCAGACTTCCCCAGCCTTGTGACCTCCGGATGCTGTTGGACTGCAATTCCCAGTATTCCTGGCCATTGGTTGTACTGGCTGGGACTGATGGGAGCTGAAGTTCAAAACATCCCAGAAGATACCAGACTGTAGAATGCACAATACTGGCCATCACTGCAAAGAGCATTGCCTGTATCTCCTTCAGTGGACCTGTACCTGCAGTTGCACTGACCTTTGTAAGTGAATTTCTCATCTGAGGATCTGAATGTCCTGCCTTGATTGGGGGCACGGTTCACTGATGCTTCTGCCCCACCAGTCAAGGGCTCACACTCATTCTGGTTTGGGACCTTTCAAGTCCTTGTGTGTTGTGTGAGCTCTCATACCAAACATTGAAATGTATATAGCGAAATAAGCAAAATGGCCATACCACTGTGGCCGAAATGCAAAGGGCTTTGCCACTGTTTTCAAGACCTGGGCATGTCCGTTGAACTCTGGCTTCTCAGGCTGAACTGTGCGTCACTTTTCAAATGAAGATTTGCTAGAGCGGCTGGGGATGTGGCCCTGTGGGAGGGTGTAGCCCTTCAGAGATTTCTGCTGTTACAGCCAGATTGCATTCCTACAGTGCTGAGTTAATAAATAAATTATAAATTAGCTGTGTCAAATACAAATTCATTGCGTAGTTGTATCTTTTCGAGACTCGCCATGAATATTCAAATCCTGAGGGGTTAAAACTTTGTAAAATAATTTAATAAATTTGTGTGATGTTTCTGGTCTGGCTTCTACCCATAACAGGATGTTTTGCAAGAATATTAGTAGAGTGTGTAGGTGTTGACCTTCTGAAGACCTGGGCAAATGTGAATCGTGGTGCAATTATCCTGTGTCGGTATGTAGAACACGTACACTTCTTACCTTTTTGAACATCTCACAAATGTTCTTTAGGTTTAAAAAAAACGAAATGGCTTCAGTGTAATCTACTACCAACCTCTTTCAGTCATGTTCACATATCCTACTGTTTTCTAGTAGGCAGCACTCACGTCGCTTAGATCTAAGTATTACTGTATTGCCTTCAGTGCAAGATTATCCATCACCTTCTTTTGACAAACCTGATCAAAACAAGAAAATACCAGGAAATCCCCAAACACAGGATGTAATGTGCCTACCTTCCTCAATGTGGTGCCTTCCAGATGTTTTGAACCAACTCCAACATTCTTGGCCCTTGGCCATGCTGGTGGGACTCCAGAACATCTGGAAGCTGGAGTATGGTTTTATCTGGAACCAAGCAGAAGTAACACAATTGCTTGTTAAAATCTGCCTGCTATCTTCTTCCATGGCACTCTTTCTGTTTCAAGGCAATAATGCAATATTTGCCTTGTCAGGGGCTTAGTTGTCAAGACATTCATGAGCACCAAGTTCCTGTATTGCAATAAGGTAGCTCCATTTTCTTCAGTAAGACACCACCGAGAAGATAACTCCGCATTGATGGATATGATACCATTTCTTTTGCAATCATTGACATATATTCGGAACAAGCAACTTGGAAATAACAGGAAATGACAGCTCTCCTCTTCTGTGGTTGTCTATTTAACAACCCAGTTAATACTTTAAACTGAAGTGTTTATTTCCGCTATCTTTGTATTTTTCATGTTCAGTTTTAATTTCTGCTTCGCAGACTTTAGCAGACTGACTTTTAATAGTGGCATCATTACGGAAACACCTCCTATTAAATTATAACTGAGCTGTCAGTAAATTTATTCAGAGAATCATTGAAATGTTGGAATTGAAGGGATCTAAATGTCACCTAGTCCCAACTCGCTGTACTAAAGCAGATTACTTAGTACTACACTATCACTGTTAGCCTGATCCATATTGTCCAAAGCAGAGAGAGCTCTTCAGGGCTAGGAATAGGTTCAGTAAAAGCAGTGTGAAGTGGTGAAAGGAAGTAGCTTTTTCTGGAGGGGCAGCTGAACAAAAGCTCTAGAGTAAGCAGCTAGAAAACTATATAACCTGAGTGAATAAAATTTGTCTGAAATGGGTTGCCCTCCCTCTATAAGTCCTTACTATCCTCTGTTCATCTCTAATTTTCACCATTTCTTGTGCTTCTAAGCAAAATATTCTCTGTGACTCTCTCGGGTCAGTGCAGAAGTGTTGGGGTTTAAAGCAAACATCCGTTCATAGGTTTATCATTGTGGAGTTTTAATGCTCAGCTGATGGCTTTTATAATGTAGACCTGCGGGGATTTTTCATGACATTTCAGAACAGATCCCTTGCATTTGACAAGGATGCTTAATTCCTTTTAAAAGCTCTAATCCCCCACACAGATGTTGAGTAAAGATTTGTGAAGAGCTGCTTCAACTACCACTGCAAAGTTTCCCTTTTCATGTAAAAAGATGTGAAAAATCTGGTTTACTGTGAAGCTGGTTCAATGACCCTTGCTTGATTTCTGGAAATGCAGATTTTTGTGGGTGGGGGTGTTTAAAGAAAAAAGCCATGCCACTCTCCTCAGTTGGATTAGTAATACTTCCAGGCCTGGGTCTTGTTCCCATGTGGTAATTTGCCCATTTTTTGTTTCCTGGAATGCAGCTAAATCGGAACTATTTCTGGTTAATACCATCTTCTCTGACCCCACCACTCTTCAACCCCCTTTCCTCCCCAACAGAATGGTGCAGCAGCCCAGTTCTCTATCATATCTTGCCATAGACTAAGTAGAGACTTTTCTTTTTGACCCCTCTGAAAACTAGTGTAACTCAGATATTTTCATTACTCAGTGCCACAAAAAGCACAAACATGCACAATTCAGGACAACCTTGGCTGAAAGCTGGAGTAGGAGCCCTTGCACTTCCTCCATTGTGAAATGTCTGGGCTGCAGGAGCAGATTTAGCCTGTGCTGTGCTCCTGGGAAAAAACAGATGAACCCCTTTTTTGCAGTTACAGTAGAGCATGAAAAGGGAATGTGTGTTATCTTCATTTTACTGCTCTGACTTCTTTGTAAAGTAGCTTTGTAGACTAGTGCTCGCCCTTCCCAAAAACAGCCCTGAGGAGTAACAGGCAGAGTAAGAAGTAGTAGAGTAACAAGTAGCAGCTATATGTACATTATATGCATCCTAGAGGGGCATATAATATACTGCATGTGGAAGGCCTAGTGTCAGAGCCTGGCATCTCCACTTAAAAGGAAATGTCCCAAAATTGGGAGTGGGAGCAGCTCTGAAGGGGCACTGATGGGATAGGAGGACTAATGAATTGCACCAATATTATTATTAATATTAATATTAGAATATTTCTATGCCACCCCTTGCCGAAGCCTCGGGGCGGCTTACAACACAATAAAATACAATACAATACAAAAATAACAATATAAAATTAAAATTAATAATATAAAATAAATAAAAAATATAAACGATATAAAAGGAGTTATAAAAGTTATAAAAGAAAAGAAGACGCCCTGGTCAGATAAATAAGTAAATATTGTTAACAATTAAAATGACGTTTAAATAAAAAGGTCTTCACCTGGCGCCGAAAAACAAATAACAACGGCACCAGGCGGACCTCTCTGGGGAGCACATTCCATAGATTGGGCGCCACCGCAGAGAAAGCCCTCCTCCGAGTACCCACCCTCCTAATTTCTTTCATGGAGGGTTCCCGGAGAAGGGCCTCTCCCGCAGATCTCAAGGGGCGGTCGGGCATATATGGATGTAAGCGCTCCTTCAGGTAACCAGGTCCCAAGCCGTTTAGGGCTTTATAGGTCATAACCAACACCTTGAATTGGGCCTGGACTTCAATGGGAAGCCAGTGAAGCTGTCGGAGGACTGGAGTCATGTGAACATAACGCCCCGTCCCCGTCAGCAGCCTGGCAGCTCTATTTTGAACCAACTGAAGTATCCGGACCGTCTTCAAGGGAAGCCCCACGTAAAGCACGTTACAGAAGTCAAGGCGGGAAGTCACCAGCGCGTGTGTCACCGTTGCCAGGCAGTCGTACTCCAGATAGCAGTTTCGTACCCCCTGTGTTAATGGGCAATTGAATGAATAAGTAGAGACATTGCAGGACATCCATTTAATGTTGAGTTGTAGGCTGAATAACTTGACACCCACAAAATATGTGTTTGGACAATGAAGAAGAATCTCCCGATTGCTGCTCATCTGCAGAAAGGTGGTGACACAGGAGAGTAATAAGGAGCACCTTATTCATAGTAGAAAAACAGAGGGGCCCTGTAGATGAACAGCCTGTTGCTCAGATCTCTTGCAGCACTGTCATTTTGCAGTTTTAAAAAAAGATGATATCCCTACTGTTCTCGGGGAGGGGTGCAAGTGCTGAAATGTTTCGTCTTGATTAAGGAGGAATGTTTGCTGTTCAGTTGCTCAGTTTCCTGGCCATTTCATTACAGTGCATTTATCAAAATGATCCAACAAATTGGCCTTTCATGGTTCTGTGCAAATGCTCCTCATGCTGGGTGGTATTCTAAATCAAAACCCACACTTGACTGCAGACTTTGGGCTTCTTACCTTCTAATATTTCTTCATTTAATGTGTGTTAAATCATGTTTCATACTAAATTGTGAGCATTTGATTATAAAGCTTTTCACCCAGTTCAAGCAAAGGGAATAAAACTAGATTCTGAAGCTGAATACATAAGCACATATGAGAAGATTTAAATTTTGCTTGTTTTGGGTTGCTTTTTAAAGAAACCTGTTGTTCTCTCAGAATGATCCAAAAAACTCCCTCTAAATTGTAGACAAAGTACAACTGAAGTTAATCCTTGTATTTTGCGTGTTTCTGCCACTTGTATATCACCTACACATATGAAATACATGAAAATTATATATAAAATTGTACTTTGCAATTGGACAAACCAGTAGTGCTGTGTTTTTGGATAAGACAGAAGTATTTTAGGTCACATTGAGAAACAGATTTTTAATCACTCTGCAAGCCACATTAATTCTTCTCTCATTCAGTTTGGTTTGGCAACATAATCCTTATTATACATCTTTTAAAAAAAACACAAGGCAGGGGATGTGCCTTTTTAATCAGAAGGTTATGATAAAAATAACACTGCAGTTACAAGCTACAATTGAATCTGCTCACTCAACCTTTTACCCAGGGCATGGTGGCTCTTTAATAAGGTGCTGCCACCATATTCCCACCTTAATATGAGAAAAGTTCTACAAACTGCTCTCAAGTGATTTCCCTGTAATTCTTTCCAGCTCAGATTTTCCAGCTTTACTGTTCATTCTGTTTTCTGACTGATTTTTGGTTTTAACCATGTGAGCTTCCTTGGAAGCGTACGGTGAATGATTAATAAGCAGTCTCTTCCAAACTGCAAGTTGACCCCTGACTTGGGAGAGTCCTTAGGGATTGGTTGCCACTAAAGACCAGTTCTGAAGCACAGGTGCTCCTTGTAATGGTTTCTACCCGAAGCCCCTCCCGGAGAGACCAAAATTGTAAGCAGCTGCTTTGAGCCATCTCAAGAAATGCAGGAGTTTCTATCTGCTAGGAGTAGCTGCTTTTTTTTTTTTAATTCCTGATGGGTTTTAATTGCCCAATCAAGAGGAGGCCATCTCAAATAGCTTCCATTACAATAAGGAACAGTATCTTGTTGCTGGGGAATTCATCCTCCTTTTCACCCACTCTGAGGATTGCAGTTTAGCTCAGAGGGAGGGAGAATTCAGAAAGGGATGGCAGATGCCATCATCCTGACCTATAAAAATCTGCTGGCACTGGGTCTTCGCAAGCTCCGGCTCTACGATACCACCAACGTAGTATCCAATGGCTGCTTCCAGACTGACCTCTTGGATTCAGGCAGTTTGCAATATGACTGTCATTTGCAGCAGATTGTGGCTGTCTCCCTTGAAGTGAAACTGTTTGCCTTTTTGCCTCTCTTGTAACAAGTAATATTGACATACGTTGAGTCTGAGCTATGTTTGGGCTGCAATGGCCCTCAGAGTGCCTTGCACTCTGCAATCACAACACCTTGAATTATGATGATACAGTCATACAGTGTGGAGAGCAACCTTGTGTGAGCAGGTCATTTTGCATAGTGGGGCTTCCCCCTAAAAAGACCCCTGCCCCTCTGAAATCTGTTCCAGAGCGTTGCCAGCGCTCAAGCAGATTCTGAAGGTGCTGGGGAGGACCGTTGGAGTCAGGGGGAGATGCTCGTGGAAGCCGTTCTGTCAGTAGGAGGTCCTAATTGGATTCTTTGCACATATGTACATAAGTACACTTGCAGTAGTCCATCGTATGTTAAATGTTCCACAACCTGGTGGAATAACATGTGTACAAATTTCTAAAAGCTGTAATGAAAGGACCATACCTTCAGTTCTCTTTTTGTCTATAAAAGTAAATATAATCCTGAATCAGAGACTTTAATTTAAATGCACCATCTGTAGAAGAACATTTGAAGAGAGGAAAAAGTGTGAGGAGATCTGCAGCATTTGGTAAAATGACCTTCATGGTGAATTGGCATGCCAGGGTGTTCCCTGTCTTCTTGCTAGCCAATAGATGATGATGCAAGGCTAACTAAATCTGCTCTTGTTCACTGTTCCTTGCCATTTATAATATTTTATTTTGACTTCATTTTAAACTTTATTTTTAAAATTTCTATTTTCTTCCCTTTTATAGTCTTCTTCAGAGCTCTGATCAAGAAGTGGCAACTCAAGTCAAAGAAGGATTAAAAAGTCTGATTCCAAAGCTAAAAAGAACTAAAAATGATGCAGCAGGAATAAAAGCCTTGCTGGAGAAATTGTCATCATAATTTAATTATTAAATGGACATTTTAAATGGACAATCTAATGTCCCTCATTTTAGAGGACATATTTTTGGACTGGTTTGGAGTAACTTTTTTTAAACCTTTTTTGTAAAGTTGGGTAATGCTAAACTTTTTAAACCCCTCACATCATTAATTTACCAATAAATACTTTAAAATTGTTCTGAATGTTGCATAATGTTTTTTTCTCCTTTGGAATGTTTTGATTTGTCTCTGGGTTGAGATATATTTTTGAAACTGTGCAGTTGAAAACATTCAACATACTTTAAAATTCCTCTGTTTTAAAAGAGCATGGTAAAGATTCATATACAGCTGTTATTGATTGAGTTCTATCTTTGAAATTCTGGTTCCATTGAAATTGGAAAGCATTTGACTCCACTGAATTCAGGACTTCGGAATAAAATTTCCCATGATCCACTAAGAACCTTAGTGGATTTTCCAGTTGAGGAAGTCATAGTTTGGGCTCACCAACTCCTGTAGTTTTCAGAGAAAATGCAGCATCATTTAATCAAGAGGTCATCCAGACCTTTGGGATAAATTTGGATGCCATTTTGTATGAGACTAATGTTTATATTATAAATAATGGTCTAGTGATACAAAGTGAAATCCTCAAATCCCTTCCAAACTCAGAAATATTGGAGAGTCTGTACAGGAGATACTGGCTTGGTTCAGACATTACATTTGTGATCGCCAGTACCAACAATCCCTTAAGCTGGCAGGCTCTTTTGTAGTTTCTGCGCAAGCTCCCCCTTGGCTGCATGGCTTAGCATTTAATTGCACCTTTCCATAGTTTGCTCCCAGCCCAGAGTATGAAAGGTGGGTTAGGACCTCGTTTCAAGAACATGCTGGATAAGAGCAGTGACGACTGCAGCTGGCTTTGACGTGACTGTGAGTGATAACTTATCACCAAGGGATAGGGAGGGCAGCAGGAAAACGTGAGGCTGAGAGCAGGAAAAAATGAGCTTTGGTGCTCATTCAGCTTTCTGGAAATGTTACGTCTGCCTCCCACAGGAGTCTCCTTTGGTGGGGAAAATGTTTCCATTCTGCATAGAAGAATATTATTTATATATTCCTTTCCTATATGCTGTTGCCATGGAAATAATCTTTTTCTTAAGGGTGCGCAATACAGGTGCTAAATTCTAAAAGCAGTCTGGAATGGCTGCTTTTAAAAGTATGGCTAAACATTTGAGGGGTTTTGTGCAATTCAGCTAACACATTTAGGCATGTAAATTCCAAATTTCATGGCAGGTGTGGGAAGTTCCACCACTGGACTGCTGAACTCTGCGGAAAGAGAAGAATTTTATCCAGTGGGAGGAATCCAGAGGGGTGCGTCTGCCCCTGCCAGTTTCGTTGTGCAAGCAGCCCCTGCTATTTACCACTCCGGGGGTGACCTGAAACTAGCAGGAGCACACTTTTCAGGAAGGAGGCAGGCCAGTGGGGTTCGCACAAGGGAGCTCTGTGACCCATCTCCTTCCTGACAAAAGAATGTCCATTTGTGCTCTTCCTAGAGGAAGCCCTGAAACAGTCTCCCTTGTGTAAGCAGTAGGCCTGGCATGTGTGACACAGTTGCTGGAAGTGTGTGCATCCTGTTGGATACTACACCATGTTTTGCAGTGCCTGACTCCAGTCCTCCTTTCCATGGGGACAATTTAGCTCTTCTTGAGTTCGAAGAAACAACTAATTCAGCTTCCATCAGTTTGTAAATTACATGCTGGCTTCACCAAACTTGCAGTCCTGCCCTTGGCTGCAGCGGTGGCAAATTCCTTTTCTGGCCTTTGTGGATTCATTTCCAGCTTACCAAATGGGCCAGTGCTGAGCAGGGCGATCTCCGTTGCAACCTGTGATTGGCTAGGGTTGCATCAACACATGAACAGCTTAGAGCTGTGAGCGTGTGCTCCCCAACCTTGACATAGATCTGTTGGGCAGCCAACGTACTTGGACCAGTGAGAGTAATCCGTCTCCTCACTGGCTAGCGCGGTGCTGACTGTGCTACTCCACAATCCATGTAAGCTTTTATGACCTTGTATAGCCCTTAAAGGTTAATCTCAAATAGATCTAACTGCAATGATAAATATCGTTTGTATTCACAGCCACTTGGAACAGTTTCTGGAGGGACCACTGCAGCTCATCCATTCTGTTAACAGGATTGCCTTTTGTGACAGTGAAACAGAGAACTTTGCTTAGCACTTGGGTGATGAATTTAAAGGCCAGCAAATACAGCTTCGAAGTCCTAGCAGCTGCCCTAAATCACTGCTGGTGTGGAAGCTCTGAGGGGGTGACGATAATGTCCCGGTGACAGGATAAGGTTGAAATGTTGCTTCACAATGGAGTGGGAGGTGGGATTTAGCCCTATATGTGGCAAAATAGGATCACTTTCTGTCCTTCCAAAAGCAGCACCTGTCAGGATCTATGTGTAAGCAAGCTCGTTCTGCGTGTTGAACCTAGCAGAAGGCCGCGCGAGTCGGGCCAACTGAATGTTGCCCGGGAGCAGCTTCGAAGGGGCTTTCTCAGAAGTGGTCTCCACCCTCCTTAGCTTCCTCCAGTGTGCAGTGTGGTAGGAAGAAACTACGTTGTGATTTTAAACAGTCCTTGCTTAAGCAGGCTTCCCATCGCTTGTAACTAATCACAGTCAATCCTGCTGCTGCTCCATTTTCTAGTATTTTTATTGCTTTTATTGTTGTTATAACTGAAATTGCTTGCATAGTGTATTTCAAGCTGTGATTTTAATATCTGTGAACCACTTAGGGATTTTATTAAGAGTTATAGAAATATTAAAAATAAATAAACAGTGCTGTTAATACTGCTCACTTAACCATTCGTGTTGCATTTGAAGGTAGTTCTTTTAAAAATTACAGGTAGCTGTGTTAGCTAAGTTAGAAAAAATGCAAAATCAGTATTGGTGTAAGAAGTGTATTAGGCCAACCTGAAGATCATTTTTGCTTCAATAGATGTAACTGTCCTATGGATTTTGGAATGTTTTCTTTTAGATAGGTTATTTTTACTAGATAAGCTTCAAGAAAACACTACTTTTACAGCAGGGGTGGGCCACATGTGATTTTCAGATGTTTAGGACTACAGTACCCATCATTCTATGACCATATCTGGAGCGCCACAAGTTGTACATCCGTATTTGTAGGCAGATAGGTGGGAGCTTGAGTAATTTGGAAGAATATGGCCTGAACCGCTTCACTCTGCACATGCCCTTGCTTCTCTTTGGATTTCCCAGGTTAGCTGCCATCTTTTTATTTATCCCACCAAAGCATTGCACTCAAGGTGGCTAGCAAGAACAAAGCCGAGATTAGAACAGAAACTTTAATTAAAAGAATCAAGCAAATTAAAGGTACAATGAAAAACACAACAATAAAAGAAATAAAAAGCTCCTAAGCCAGGACTAAGACACTGGTACTGCAGTAGGTTCCAAGGCTGGGTGCTGGCTGAAAAGACTCCACTCATTTTTGCTTCCAACAAACGACGTGTGGACCAGGATGTAGGCGACCGATGGGGGTGGGCAGAATGCCAGGACCAGGGCGCTGGCACGAGGCTGGGCTCCTTAGCTCAGTAGGGCCAGAGGCTGGCAGTGTCAACGGTCAACAGTCCGGGGTTGGAAACAGGGCAGCAGGCAGTCCAGAAACAGTCCAGTGGCCAAATGCCACCAAAGCAGCCGTGTAAAGGTGGCCAGGGTGGAGGAGGGAGGCTGCAGGGGCAGGACAGAGCGGGCTGGAGCACGGCAGAGACTAACCAGAGTAGGGCAGGAGCAAGGGGCGAGGCAAGGTGATTCAAAGGCCAGAGCACAAGAGAGGCACAGAGACAACCTGTGTTGCTGCGGCAAAGAGTAGCTGTGCAGAGAGGCCTTTTCAGCCCGCCCCTCCGCACTGCATGATTGCCTCTCGGCTGTTCCCAGCAAGTGCCTGCAAAGGTATCCTGCAGACACTCGCAGAGCTAGGTGGGTCCCAGTCCTGACAAATGCAAATAAAAATACCTTTTGTTTGTAGCCTTTTTTTTTTTTTTGCTCTGTTTTTCAAGTCTACCTATCAACTTCCATATGGCCAAGCCAAAATTCTGCTGTTCATGAAATGGGACATTCTCAAAATGTTTTGCTTAAAGTTTGTTTAAAGTCTGTATGATAAACAAGAAATATAAAGTTAATTCAATTACAATCCTCATGGAGGATTCAAAGAACTTAACTGAAAGCATGTGTTGAAAGAGATGGTTTTGAAACAGACTATACGCAAACTTGTTTAGACAGACATATACTCTGATAAAGCCTTTTGGCAACAAATAATTAGTTGAACAAATCAAGATCCAGTAAAAAGTCATAGTTTATTTCTGTTACCTGTTGTAAGTGCTTTTTCTGTCCATTGACCCAGTCAGGGAGGGGCGGGGGAGAATGTTTAAATCTTTTTTTTTTACTCAAACAAGTTTTCCTACAGACACAGAGAAGATACAGGAACGGACTGTAAACACTGCACGTTCTGTGACTTCTGACTTTGGAAGTAGACAAAGTGGTATTTCAGTGTTCCCTGATCATGGAATGAACTGACTGCTTACACAGACATGTGTAAACATGAACATGGAACAGTTTGTTTCCAACTCACTGGTTTTATCATTGTTTAGCAAGAGATGGTTCTCTAGACGAATCTGTAATTTATTCACTCATCTGGAAGTCTTCTAGTGCCAGCACTTCTTTCTTTATAATTTTTGCAGAAATGTGATAGCTTTGCTGCCAGCATGTCATACATAATTTTGCACATCTTACACAGTGTGTATGTGTGTGTTTCAGTGCAATGACTTGGGCTAGTGACCTTCCTTCCTTTCTTTTTTCTTTTAGGGCTTACTTAGCCTGACCTGCCTGGATCCACTGAAAAATGCTCATCTTCCCCTCCTGATGAGTGATTTTAACTTGATTTCACAGTCTAGTGATTGTCAGAGTTCGTGACTGGGGGTGCACCTCCAGTGAGCGTCACCCGCTTGCTTGGGTCACATTTCTCTTTTGCATTAGGAGTGAAGTCCTTCTAACCAAGTATCATCCATTGTGTTTGCTTGCTGATTAATACCTGCAATATTGGAGGCAGAATCATCTATTTTTTATAACAATTCTGGTCTAAATAGGCCCTTGTACGACATGGATTGGATGTTCTTCTCTCATAGGGATTCATCTGATTCCAAAG